GCAGCTGCGACCATGGCGTCTTCAGACAGCTGTCCATCTTCACCCCCATCTAAATTGACTGTCTCGTCAATAATGTCCTGTTTGAGCTGTAGAACAGCTGCGACAAGCTCAAGCTTTGGAACTCTTAGTTCCAGGCCACGCCCAAAGACGGCTAGCGTTGCTTGCAGGTCACTTTTTGTAAAAGAATTAATCCTGGACTGCGAATACCTCCTAACCCGACCCGCCATCATACGCCTGTCTGAGGGCCTGTCAATGGTTTGTTTTCGAATTGCCAGGGCATGAAGCACAGATTACCAGCGCTCTGAGATACATCGTTCTGTGTCGGTGATATCGTCAGGTAGGGTGTTAGCCCCATCGCTGATACGTCTACCACGCAATTTCGCCGCCTTTCCTCTCAATCTCGTGTCGTAGTCCCGTGCCACAGCCGCGACAAACCCATGGGCTGTCCTTGAAGTAAATCGAAATGCCCGCAGTAGAAACCAGACTGGATCTTCGGATTGTAGATACGTTAACGCATTGACGCGGTTGAGTGCTTGACTGACAATCCTGCGTCCGTCCTCCGAAAATACGGACCTGTTCGGCGCCCCTCTGTCTAGACCGGAACTGAATACCAAGAGGGACTCACTGAGCTCCTTCATACCTGCATAAGAGCGAAAGGCTTCTTTCACGACGACTGTAAAACATCTGGAAGGGAACATAGCGGCATTATTATGGACCAGGGCTGCTATCCTGCCAGAACAACTTTCCCGATAAATACATGCCTCTACCTGTAGAATCCCGAACCTCACATGTGAACCAGATTTTAGACGTGCATTATAAACTGCACGACATCCTTTCTCGGACACAATAACTCCTCTGTGCCTCGCAGTGATAGGACCATCTCCGAATACATAAGGGTACCATAAGTCTCGTTTATGTGTACCAATTAAACTGGCTTCGAGAGTGCACCAAACAAACTCAATTGTCTCCTTAGAGTTATAACCTCTGTCTGCGGCAAAGATCGCCGCTGGCATTGCCCGGAGTGCCCCATTTGTAGGTGCTCCCTGCACGAGCTGTGCCAAACGCTCCCACGTATGACGCAGCTTCTGGCCATGCCTTGTAAAGTGACAGGCAATAAATAGAGGGTTTAACGCTGAACAAATTGCATTTCCCACTGGCCCTAGGCCTTTTTGGGATTGTTGTGCTGTTGAAGGTAGGTTAGATTCATCACAGCTCGAGAGGCCATGCGAAGATGGTCATCGTCGAGAGAAACCACTGTAGCATTAGGTACATAGAGTAACTCACGATTGATTGAAGCGACCTCGGACTCCACAACTGTAATCATAGACGTGGCTCTGTTTGCACTCCTGCACCACCCTGTTGGACTGTAGTCATGAACTGCTTGCTTTTCTTTGGACCGCTTAAAGAAGACCACACCTCATGATACCTCTGAGAAGTTATTCCCATCTGCAAGAAGTTTTCTTGCTCGGTGGGGTCAGATACAGTTGTTGGAGACTCATTGTACATCGCGCATAAAGCGTGCAAAATAACAATTCCTTCCAACTCCAAACGATCTGTGGCTTTTCTCCGGCGGTGCCGCAGAACTCTATTTGAAAACGATACCAGCTTCTGAAGGAGACAGTCTGTGAGAAACGTTTTAAAGCATGCCAACGGCGTGATGGTGACAGGTAGCTCGCAGGTTTCCCGATTGTGCTGGGACTTTATGTCTTCTAGAACATTTTCCAGTACTGTGTTAGCCTCTGTAACAAACTGTAGTGCAGTGACTCTGCGCCCTTTATCCCTGGTCACCGCCGTCGCGGGGCCGCGTTCCCCGCCTTTGACACGTGTGTCACACGTGTGCTCATCCAAAGTGTACGCGTACACTTTGGATGAGCCCACACGTGTATGCTGTGCGCTCCCGTCTATGACACGTGTACTCATCCAATGTGTACGCGTACACTTTGGATGATACCACACGTGTATGATAAGCGCGCCACACGTGTACTGTGCGCGCACATTTGGAAAGGTACCCCACGTGTACCGCAAGTGGCCACACGTGTATGACAATCGTATGACACGTATATGATACCTGTACAACACGTGTACGACACGTATACATACGTGGTGCCCAAAAGTTTCTACGCTAATTAGCGTCTAATGCCAAGTGGCAATTCTAATGACGATAATTAATTATTAATTACCCATTTAGTAACGGACGTCGACGACGGCGCTCGGCCTATATAGGTCGGGTGTCGGAAGGCGCTACAGTGAAGAGGCATCAGGTGATCGGACCCCATCTCTGGTAGGATCCTTTACGGTTCCTATCTAGTTGGCTAAGTCTGGTACCTGCACCCTTCGTCGTCATCCTTTTTCTTGTTTTCCTTTACTTTTTTCCCTATTTTCTACGTTTCTACGCTACACTTCTCCTTCCTTCTTACTTCTCCCTTCTTGTTTTGTTCTTCTTCGACGCTGTCGATAGCGGTCCGCGACGCGACCGCCACCCCCATGCCTTCTAGGTACTCGATCCTGAGTACCCCTTCACGCGTTGACCGCGACTCTACCCGCGATTCTCGCGTTACCTCTGAGCTACCACGGACAGAGGGTCCCGAACACCCTGGTGGTGACTGGACATACCGCTTTCCCTCATAGCGAGATTTACGCCCTCGTTGGCGAGTGTGTCCACTGCACTACACAAACCTCAGGCCTAAAGTAGTATCGACATCGTCAATCTTCACTTTCACTGAAGAGAAAGGGCTATCATAGTCCCAATTTGTAAGCCCCCCATTTTGGTGACCCCACGCTCGAGCCTCAAGCTCCTGATCCGATACTGGAGCTCGAATAGTAGAGTCATCAGTTTCCATTATACCTGTCCACGGCATATTGACATACCTCTCGTCATCAAAGTCTGCAAACAGCCTACTGTGAATGTCTTCACAGAGATCTCCCCCAGAATCGCATGTCGACGATAAAATATTTGAAACACGAGTGGCACTACATAGAGATTGTAGTTCTGAGTCTGCAATGTGACAGGCGGCTGCGGTAATTTCCTCCGAAGAGTGAGAAATTCCAGGTGACGCAATGGGCTCTTGGGAGAATGGCACATCACTGGAGTCCATTGATTCATCCACGGCTGCCAATTGCAACGGAAGGGAACCCTGCTGCTGAAAGGGCGAGCATGATATACTTCCCACCATATCCGAAGGCATTCCTGCGTCATGAAGCGTACTCATTTGATTGAAGGGGAGGGGTGAGCCGTCAGGGTCTTGGGCTGGAGCAGGTGCAGGAGCAGGAGTTGTTATAGTGCCGAAATACGGGCGGGGAGGCGATAGGTTGGGAGGGCTATCGACTTGTAGTGAATGCGATTCATTGGCACAATCGCTTGCAATTTCAACTGATCTGTGCTGGTCTGTATCTGCATTTTTTGAAGTCTGCGAACGCGCAGGACTGCTCTCGCTATCACCCACATCTGGGTCTGTACAGAGAGCGCGATCGCTCATGATCTCCGTGCTTGCCTGGAAACATAGTTGTCAGATAGAAGGAAGATTGAGGAGGGACGCAATTGGGGTAAGAGGGTATCGTGGAAGGAGATGTTGTAGAGTTAGGAGACGGTTTGTGAGGTAGAACACATGAAAAGAGACGATGTGTGCAATCGATGAGAGACGTGTACTTCAATCTGGTACAATCATCCAATTGCACATATCTCTCATTTTCCAAGTAGATTTTTGTGACGATCCGCCGCCGTCTCTTGTGACAAGTATACAAAATCGTCACAAATTTTGTAGACCCTAGAATCGTCTACAACCGGAGCACAGGGTTAGGCGGGGGTGACCTGAAAGACTCTGGTGACCAGAAAGACTCTGGCTCCACGCAATAACTAAGCTTTAGCCACGTGTCGAAATAGACCGCAGGTTGAATACTGAATAGTATCATACGTATCTCACGGATCAATGTACTGTACAATGATCCGCAGGAAACGTGTGTATGATGAGGTACAGGTACAGTACCGAGCGTGCTGACACTTGCAGCCCACGTGGCACTTACATGACTTGCACGTCGTGCACTGTAGCCCCTAAATTATCCGCTCTGCGATCGTAGCTTCCGCCGAGAAGCCGGAACGAGAGAGACAAAGAAAGCTCGCAACCTCGAATCCTTAAGCTGCAAATCGCGTCATGGCGACCTCTGAAACATGGAACGATGTGATGCGCTTAGTGAAGAGCAAGGGCAATATGGACATCAAATTGAAAGGAGCAGAGATGGGAAAGGTAGTAACTCGTTTTCCACCGGAACCAAGCGGCTTCCTTCATATTGGACATGCAAAGGCGGCATTATTGAATGATTATTTCGCACGGATGTACGAGGGAAAACTCATTGTTCGCTTCGATGACACCAACACCGAGAAGGCTACCCAAGGTTTTGAGGATGCCATTATTGGTGATTTGACCAAGCTCGGTATTAAACCCAATATGGTCCACTACACATCAGATTTTTTCCCCCACCTCCTCGAGATGGCTGAGAAATTCATTCGTGAAGACAAGGCTTACGTCGATGCAACTCCTGCTGAGGAAATGAAAGCACAGAGGCTCAAACGAGAGGCAAACGAATATCGAAGCCAATCAATGGAGGAAAATCTTCGGATGTGGCAGGATATGTTAAATGGTACTGAACTTGGGGCGCAGTGTGTATTACGGGCAAAGATTGATATACGTCATAAGAACGGCACGATGCGTGATCCGACGATGTACCGCACGAAGAAGATGCCCCATCATAGAACCGGCGGGAAGTACCACGTCTACCCAACCTATGATTTCTCTTGCCCACTTGTCGATTCCTGGGAAGGGGTCACACATGCGTTGCGTTCCTTGGAGTACAAGGATCGCGAAGCGCAGTACAAGTGGATGGCAAGAGCTGCAGAATTGAAATGTCCGGAAGTATGGGAGTTTTCCCGTCTAGACTTCGTGCGGACCGTCCTTTCCAAGCGAAAGCTTCAAAAGCTTATTGATATTGGTGCGGCAAAGTCTTGGGACGATCCAAGGTTCCCCACGATTCAAGGTATTCGCCGCAGGGGAATGACAATTCAAGGCATTCGTGCGTTCATTTTGTCACAGGGTGCATCTCGAAACAATACGACACAGGAATGGGACAAAATTTGGACGGTAAACAAAAGGGTTATCGACCCTGTTGCTCCTCGCCATGTCGCCATTAACAAGGAGAAGGCAAGGAATGCTACTGTAACCAATGCCGAGCCTGAGATTAAGGCGATGCCCAAGCACAAGAAGAATGACAACCTCGGCACGAAGAGTGTCATCTATCAGAAGAAAATTCTAGTCGATGGTGAAGATGCTGATAGCTTTGAGATTGGTGAAAAGGTGACTTTCATGGATTGGGGCAATTGTGAAATCACTGCACGGGATGACCAGGGCAATCTTGAGGCAGTGTTTATGCCGCAGGATCAGAATTTCAAGGGTACAAAGAAGATCACGTGGCTCGCTGATGTTGAAGATTTAGTGTCGATTAAGGTATGCCGATATTCCGATATCTTGACAAAGAATCGCCTGGAGGAAGACGATGAGTTCGAGGACTTTCTAAACAAAGATAGCGAACAAGTGGAGTACTTGAGCGGAGATATCAATTTGAAGCTACTGAAGAAGGGTGACACAATCCAACTGGAGAGGAGGGGGTATTTCATCTGTGACTCCGCCGCGCCACCACTCACCTTGATCGAAATTCCGGACGGAAAGGTAGCGAAGTCTAAAGGCAAATAGATTTGCGGTTTGCCAGCATCAGTATCTTCTAGATAGGCTCTTTGTTGACCAATTATGGAACTCTGGCAATTGTATTCCCGCGAAACTGCTTTCGCGGCATATCGTGCTTATGGAATAACGTTGCAGCAGCTCGCCCACAGGGATAGAAACCAAACGGCATCACGGCAAACATCCCGCCATCAAGTCAGTATCTAGTACTAAATCTCTTTACTCATATTTTCAGGGTGGCCGAAACGATATCACGGGACGGGCGACAAGGACTCACACTTGTGTGGGACATGAAAGGTCCGCATAGAGACCCTAAAAGAAAACCAATAACCATTCTGCGTTAGCTCTCTATTTTATCGTTTTGGGTGCTCCGAAGATGCCACGCACCTCGCTCACAAGGGCAAACTACAGTACAGTATGTACCAGTGTAGTAGCCGATACGTAGAATCGCAGCATGATAATTCTGGCATTGTGCTGTCCGCTGCCATGGTAACGGGGCAATCAAGAGTATGTTCAACATGTTCTCCGAGGGCCGTCGGAGGATGAAATTCGGATCAGAAGAGATTGAGCGTGACGTCATTTCAACCCTGCTGTTAGTAATGCTGAATTCACAGTTTTGTCATGCCATGGGCCAATTTTTGGAAAGCCTGCATAATCCCCTCTGGAATCTGGAACCCTTCTGCAGTCCATTGGATGTATATTTTTTGAACTGTGTCCGGGAAGGCCTAAGAGCACCCCTACTGGTTTAGTTATATTTCGAGGTTAAATATGAGAAATTTACCCTTCGAAGGGTAGCGTTTGGAGATAGCGATTCTAGGCGCAACACTACCGGTTAGAGGGCAAATTCAAACGTGTTGTGCAGTGGTTGGCTCTTTCGTCAGCCGTGGTCATCCAGTACGAGGGATGGTAGTGGTGGTGCTGTACGGATATACTGTGGGGGACGTCTCCGGTTCCCATCTCCTCAAGCCCCACATGACACCATCATGCCCTAGAGGAAGGGCAGGGAGGAGAGGAGGAGGAAAGGGAGAAGGGAAGGCGTCAGGAAGAATGCAGGAGGGTGGCAGTGGCGGGTAAATTCAGCTTGGGATGGGGGTGTTGGGGGTGTTCCCTGTGCACAGAGAACATTGCTCGCGCCAAGTCAATAGAATTGGCGTGGGTTTTGGGTAATTTTTCCAAGTGGCGCAATTCTACTCGCATCTCCATTTGCGCAAATGAGTAAATCTGTCTCCATCCGGTCGGCTGCTTGGAGATAGATTTACTCAAAATGGTAAATTTTTTAGAGATACTCACTCCACTTGAGTTGCTCGTGACCAAATCTATCTCCAAAAATCAAAAATTTACTCATTTACTCAACCACTAGGGGTGCTCTAAGAGCCCAGGATATACTGGGCGCCTCCGGAAATTATTTTTTGTGTCAGAGTCATATTTTTCTTTTTTGTGAACAAAAAATGAGTTTTACCACGGAAATGCTTGCGCACATAATGTGCGTCCCCCTACTGTACGCATGCTTTGAACTCGTTCCTAACGACGAGCACGGTGTGTCAGGGTCGTTCCTAACGACGAGCACGGCACCGGACGCCGGCGATGACACCGTCGGAGCTCTATCTACAGTGTGTGCTGTGAGCTAAGCCCAATCATGATGGTGTTTTCACCGAGCAGCCACCGTCAGAACCATGAATGACCAAATGGCTATTCTATTGCTACTTCTCATTCAGAGCCATGCTCGGTAGGATGGATGTAGATGTCGAGTCTCGTCGGTCGGGCGGCGGCCGACGCTTTCTCTGTGTACAGTAAATTTGGATTGTACGCGCGCACATTTTGACATTTGTGCGATACACATTTAACCTAGCATGGGGTCGCCCGTCCGAGAAAACGGCGCGTTGTGTGTGCACAACGCGCCGTTTGTGTGTCACAAAATCCCGATTTGGTCAACACAATTTGCGATTTTAGAATTTCAGGAGTCGCCCACTGTAGTCGCCACCGTAGATCTACGCTACTCACATACACTTTCGTTTGCTCTATTGGCCAGGTCGAATTGTCAAACCATTACGACACCGATACTTGCTGAACAAGAAAACGTCTGCGGGCGTTGCCAAGCTTCCCAAACCGAAGAGTCTCTCAAAATCACATCAAGGCGTGAGTTTAAGCGTGCGCCACTACACTGCGGACAACAATGAGCGCTTTGTTTCACTACGTCAGCCTGCCGGCTTTCATCCTTTCATGGCTCGTGCACATGTTCATGGGAATGGTACGTACTCTAACACCAGCCCAATTGATGAAGGAGCTCCTCGATTACTTGTTTCCATATCCTAGTCACACCTAACTGTCCGACGATGAAAAACAACTTGTCCTTTCTTCTAGCTGTGGTACTCGCCAGGTGTTTTCGGAAACGCTTTCCTCCGCCTTGCACATCCAGGCAAGCAACCGACGCCGGATGCTCGTGCAATGGCATCGGCCGCCATAAGCACGGCAATGGCCCTTCCATTCTTTTCTTTCCTGTTGGGCGTGGCCGATTGTCGCACGCCTGGCGAGGGAGCCATATGGGGACTGGCTGTCGGAGTTTTTCTAGACTCTGGACTCAACGCTTCTCATTCTTTTTTCGAGGATAGACCCTTTGCGCTCTTCTTGCTCCACAGGGGATACCACATCACAAGTCTCACTATAATTGGCGCCATGCTTGGCTTGCTTTGTGGCTCCTGAGCGTCAATCACTAGGTAATTCGCATCGCTACATCCATGGCCTGCTGTTTTGCATTCAATATGGATGAATTTTAGTTCTGCAATGTGCGTGAATTCATGGGATGGGCACGGCAGCATGGTAGGGTGTTTATTCTTGCGATTCGGGCGCGCCACCGCTCGAGATAGCCAGTTACGCGGATTTCTCTACCAATAAAGTTACTGCTGAATTGCGGAGAGCGGGTTGAGGATACACATGGTAAACGACAAAGTTGAGTACAGGAGCTCGTGGTTCTTAGAGTGCGGACAAGCTTCGACGGAATAGACTTAAGCTTGGGGTCAGCAAGGCAATGACATGCGATGAGCGGTTGCTCTGAGGGCCAACAGATCCACTACATTCAACGGATGAAAAAATCAGATTATTAAAAAAAAAATCTCAGATTCCCCTTTTTATGCTGTTTCGAGGCGGCATCACCGGCCTGGACTTAATCTTGCGTCTTTTGTTCAACACTGGCTTGGTAGAATTTGAGTACAGTTTGTCGCACATACCGCCACTCCGACGAGATACAAGAAGAATAAGACTGCCGGAAAGTACTGTACCGTACGTGCCTGTGATATCGCGCTACTCAGACGTGCTTGCTTAGCTCTTCAAGAGCCACTTTTCGTCTTTCAACCATGGCACAAGTCCTTGCTTACCTCAGCGCTCAGTCTTTCATAATATCATGGTCGGTGTACATGGCGTTGTCGATGGTATGTGTTGAATTCATACTTTCCATAACGCATAATGTTTACGAAGTGGATCGCGAAAGAAACCCTTTTGGAGCTGACTTTTTCGCACCTTCCCAACTACTAGGTATGGTACTCTAAGTTTCTGTTTGGGGATTTGTGCAACCGCCTCTCTTTCGGGAAGAAACAACCACCGAAACCGGATATGAGAGCAATCGCTGCAACGTCCGTGGGGACTGCCGCAGTTTTGCTCTTCTTCGCTTTTGTTCTAAAAACTGCTATGTGTGAAACGGCGCTAGAAGGGGCTCTATGGGGACTGGCCCTTGGGCTATTCTTTGACACGGGGATGAATGCTTCGCATTGCTTTTTCGAAGACCGGCCTTTCTTGTTGTTCGCAATTCACAGGGGCTGTCACGCAGTGGGTTTGACAGTTGTGGGGGCAATTCTGGGACAAATGTGCGGGGGAGTGGGAAAATGAGCTGACGCGGATTTGCCAACATCGTTTTACTCAAAAAATGCCATTTCGTTGCGAGCTACCTTGAACCGTGAGGGAGACATACGGAAGTTGAGTGATTCAGACTAGTTAGTACATGTAGGCATATAGGACTTTCCTTAGGACGAAGCTCAGGCTCTGTTCTTTTCCCAGTTCACAATGTCAGGGCTCGCAGTTCTGCTGTTTCTTCCGAGGTTAGAAGGACTTAGACATCTCTCCCGAGATATGGATATTAGTGGGCCATCCTTTCCTGCCATTGACTAATTTGGTTGAATCCATGAACTGGAAACCAATGCTACAATTTGCCTTCAACCCTGGCTTGGAGGACCTCTAACCAAAATCAACTGCCCATGCGTCACCAGCTCTCCCACGTCATTAAATGAGATCACTTTTGGCATTGCGATAGAGGTTGAGTCGAGAGCGCCATGGCCGTTGCGGTGTCGGCTGCATCGGCCGGGTGAACGACACAGCTTGGCGGAAGCTTCTTAATGACAGACGACATGTCTTTTGCCAAACGCTCAAGTAATTCTCGCTCGCGATCTTCCAGATCTTCGCAATCTGCCTCATTCGCGCTCTCGCGGAGAGCGCGCAACCTCAACACGTTCATCATAGTGGCGTGGTTTGTAGTCAGCAAGTATTCCATATCATCATTTCGCGCAGCCTCGCTGCCTTTACACTGGTCCTGTTCTGTCTGTCCGCTTCGCACTTCCTTCTCTGTACAAGCTCCGCCCCTGACCAAACTTGAGAGAAAGCTAGGGTCAATACCATTTTCTTTCAGGGTCATTTGCAAGTCCGAAATATCTTTCACTCCCGGGTGAGGGCTTCGCCCGGTGGCACCTGTATCCTTCCACATCACTTCCTCGATATCCTGATGATGTTCAACCTTCTCATTCAATTCTGGTCTTGGTGAGTCGACAGGAACATCAGCTCCTCCATTTACTTGCGTAGGTGAGTTACGCCTTCTCGCACGCTTTGCAGCTTGTTGGAATGATTTTGAAGGTTTTCGGGTAACTCTGCCATTGTCGATATCCATGGAATCGTGTATGCCATTTGCCGGTATCGTAGCCGAAAGATTCTTCTTGATGACCTTGGGAGAGATATCCATTTTCTCCAACTCACTATGATTGGGGCTGCCATTCACGAGAACTCTGTCGAGGACCGGGCCCGACCGGTTGTGCGCCCTCGTGGTTTTCAAATCATGCTCAGAAACCACGTGTTCGTCCAGTAATGTGGCTAAGAGACGGCGTGCAATGGGAGCTGATTTGTGGATGTATCTCTGATACATTTGACCGTAGCGCACATTCAAGGCTCGTTCTGTCGTCGCAAACTTGGGCATTGTGAGACCACGGCTGTGCCAGCGGCCAATGCGTCTCCACGCTTCCGGAACTTCGGCACAACGATTTTTCATCTTGCGATGATTTGAAACTTTTAGCTGTCGAGCTCGTAGTGCGTGGATATCGCGACTGCTTTTGTGAAAGACGTCATTAGGCCCGGAAAAAATTTGCCTGTCAGACGAGACGTTGGGCGCAACACCAGCAGCCTTTGCGGCAGCACGAAATTCCTCTTCGGCTGCAGCTGCGGCAACAATGGCTGCCTCGGCAGCGGTTCGGGCGCGGCGAATCTGTGAGTCGCGAAAGGTCGGCTGGGCTCCCGACGCACTACCGGAAGCCGATGCCGAACCAGAGACGTCTGCGTCTGGTTCGGGACTAGTGGGTTCTGAGGTTTGCAGCGAAGAGGACACTCCACCCGATGACGGACCGGTTCCATTTTGCATACGGTGGCGTGGCGGACGCTTGGAGGAGTTTCTCGAGTACGGTCCTGCACGTCGTACTTTCGTCAGGCCGAGGGCAGCGGCGACTCCGTCGCGGGATAAGAGACGGCAGAGTTCGTCATAATAGCGTTCACACAGCACGCGTAACCTAACAGCCTCCTTGTAGTAAATGGAGTCGTCTGCGTTGAAGATACAACAATTTGACCAAATGAGGTCTAAGTCGGCGCGAAACTCCATGGGGGTTCGGTAGACGCCCATCTGGAGGTTTTTTTGCAATGTGGATAGGTCCATGGGGCGGGCGATGAGGTCTGTGTAGCCCTGAACCTGGCGGATATCGACTGGTTCGAGAAAGATGGCATATCTGTCTTTGTCGGAGACTTTGCGGATGAGGTCAGCGCCTCGCTTCTTGAGAAGTTCTTTGGGGTCTCTGGTCGGGTGTGTGGGTGGCCTTGGTGGCCGCGACGGGGCCATAGCGGAAGGAGTGATGGCGCGCGGCCAGCGGGAGGAGTTTTAAGAAAGGCGAATGCGACAGTGCACGCTGGGGTCCTTCACGTCCATGCCGCGTCTGGACCCAATCGCTGTGAATCGTCAATTTTTCGTTATCCGCGCTGTGCAAGCAGAGTTTTGCTAATTGCATATGGGGAGGGTAATTACCCCATTACATGCGGCCGGCAGCAATTGTTCTTTTGAAACAGCAATGCCGCTGACGCCCTCAGAGCCGCTTTCGCGGAGCCCAGCTCCGCAACATCGGCACGCGGCTACCACAGTGCCTTGGCCGTACAGTCCAATGCCGTTCTCGCGGAGCCAAGCTCGGCAGCATTGGCACGCGGCTACCACGGTGTCTTTGCCGGGCAGTCCAATCGGCCCTCAAGGTATATTACGGCGCGGCGCGCGTTTTTGAGTTGCCACAGCCCCGCAGGCGTCCACATTCCGTCAAAAAACGTCCCTCACGTCCCTCAAACACACGCCACCTGCCGCTTTGCTGTCAGAATTCGACCCTCGCGTCCACACAGGTTCACCACGCCTCTACACTCCACCCGCCAAACCTCCCCCTTTGCCAACCCCCGCCTCCCACCCCCCTTTATCCCACCAGGAAATGGGTGTGGGATCAACCGCAAAACGCCGTCGCACTGGCACTGACTCTTCCGCGAACTCTGCCACCCCTTCTCGCGCAAAGGCCGGTCGCTCCGGCCGTGGCAGGGGCCGCCCGCCAAATGCCCCCCGCGATGGACGGGAGCGTCCCCCTCCTTTGCCCGAATGCTTCCGCAGGCGATGCACTGATGTCCTGGACCGCCTCAATAAGAAGGACCATCTCAATATATTTCTGGAACCCGTCAATACCGATGAAGTCGACGGTTACGCTGAGACCATCAAACGTCCCATGGACCTGACTACCATGCGTACAAAGCTCGGCAAGCAATCGTACCGCAGCTTGGGTGAGTTTCGACGCGATCTCGACCTCATTTGGTCCAACTGCCTACTTTTTAATGGAAAAGAGCCTACCAATATTTTCAGTCGAACCGCTATTGAACTGCGTCGCCTCACAGAGAAACTTATCGCCTCAACTCGTCAACATTTAGAGAAGGACAAAGAGAACATTATTAAATGGAAGGAAAAACACAGGCGAAGGCGAGAGACAATGCAAGCGAACGCCGTACTGTCAGCTCATGGCCTACATCCACAACCTGGCGTTGGTCCTGGGGGATATGCCGGTCGGGACTCACGGACAAACGTACCTGGACGAGATCCCATGGACTCCACCGCTACGACGTTTCCGAGGGAGGAACATAACGGTCGCACCCCAGAGGAGAACGCTCTGGCCGATCATTTGCGTTTGCAGTACGCGGGAACTACAGGCTTGTACAGGAAAGGAACGGACAACGTTTTGCTACCACAATATGCCACAGCCGATGGCAGCCTTGTGCAAATTCCTTTGCGAAAATATCACCCAACCGACCGGCGATGGGAAGATGGCATGTCAGGTGAAGTATCAACACATCAAGTGGACGCATGCCCGGGGCTGCTGTGCGAAACATTGCCTTTGTACTCGACGAAAAACCCTTGTGCGCCGCAACCGCGAAAGGGATCCATTCTTGTGAAAGACTACGCGCAGTCGTTGTATCGCTTTGTGCAAAACTCAAAGTCAACTACGACGACCCAAATAGTCACCGAGTTACTAAGCCCTGAACTCGCTGTGAAGAAGCAGCAGGAGGAATTTTTGAAGAAAGGGTTAACCTTGCATGATCTTGCTATGATGGCAAGCAAAGCGAACGCGCGGAACGTCTCGGACAATTTGAAAGCATGGGATACCAAGTCTATCATCCAATTAGCGGATGCCATTGACAAGGCGAACAGAAAGGTTGTCTCAATTCTACCGAAGCTGAAAGAGCCAAGACATGAAATGAATGGCATAGACGGGTTGAGACAGTTATTGGGAGAAGATATCGCGAAAGAGGTGGACACTGTGCCTGTTGACGTAGTAGATTTCTCCATGCCTCACGGGGTTAGCGTTGCAACCATGGACGAAATCGCCCGTCTGCAAAATGCCCCTGCACTTGGCATCGCCGCAAAGGACTTGCAATGTATCGATTCTTTGCACAAACAGGTACTGAGCGATGCACATAGAAGGAGAGCGAGTCCGGCTGGGGCGATGGACACTGGTTCGAACTTCACACCAGCCCAATTGCATGAAATCCAGCTTCGGTCTCTTGGGATTAAGCAACAACTATGCACCGAAGCACATCGACAGGCAAACATAATTGAACAACGCAAACATATGTCGTCAGCTCATCACCCAAACAATGTAGCATTGCACAAAAGGGAGCTCCAGCTGCTCTCGCAGAAACGCCAAAGATCAGGCGTTACGGATGGGCGCTCAGTAATGAGGCCCGCGCACCACAACTTCTCGTCACAGTCCTCTGTTCAATCACAGGAAATGAATAACCTTTTGAAGGCTCGCGCACAGCAAGCAGCGGTGGCGGCGGCGAAAGCAGCGAGTTTGGATGCGCACCAGAACCACGCGGCTTCGAATCGAGGTCTATCGCATTCGGTCGGTATCCCATCGCATCGAACAAGTCATGAATTACCGCCAGCAAACCAGAACTCGATTTGCAACAACTGCGGAACACGTGACCAATTTGGATGGAGAGCGGGAGGTCTTGGACCTGAGGGAGTCGAGAGGCTTTGCATACCATGCGGACTGTACTGGGAGAAAACCCATCGAAATCGCCCAAAAGAGCTGTGGGGTCAGACGTCTCACAGAACATCACGGACGCCTTCGAACGGTTCTTTTGTAAACAGTGTGGGAGCATCTTGTGGGTTAGTCAATGCCTCACCGATGAGTTCTCCGCATGCGACTCCAAATGGGGTAGCTAAGCGGCCTATTCAGAAGCCGGTACGGGTAATGCAGTCTTCGCCGCGGCATTCATCGTCTTCCGTGGGATCCCGTGGGATCCCCCCAAATGCGCGTGTTTCTGTCGGGGCGATGGGGTTTCCGCCTGGGGTGCAATCCGCTCATGGTGGGCAACATCTGGTTTCTGCACACGGTGACATGCGTGGGATGCACCAGCAAGGCTTGCGCGCTCAAATGCCTAGCGGGATGCACATGTACAGCGGTCAAGGGACGAGCTCAAACGGTGTGACTGTGGTACCGTCACAAGCTATTCAAGCAATGCATGGTGTCGGCTCTGGTGCCTTTACAAATGTGCGGCTACCTGGTGTTAGCGGGAGCGGGCGTACCAATGTGAATACTCGACCAGGAGCGCAAGCGCAAATGAAGTATAGAAGGCAACCACAAGGGGGTGGTCTAGCGCCGCATCAGCAGTTTACTCCCCTAAGAACCCAAGGACAACAAAATCTTGTCGCACACCAAGGCGACCCTCTCATGCAACAAAAGCTGATGAATCAGCAACTTGGAGGAGTCTCCGCTGGTGTTGGGATGCTGCGCGGTGAAAACCAGACTGCGTCTCAAAGGCAACAGCCAAAAAATGCTCCGATGATGAACATGAACGGGGGCGTTCACAATATCCCTGGTAGTTCGCAATTCAGCGCAGTGCAACAATCGGGGTTGGGGAAAAGTGCTGATCAACGTGGTGGTACAGCAAATGTTACGGTAGACCGCGGACAACGCAACAACTTATCAGATGCTGGCAGCATTCAGACAGCTTTGGATTTCTCCAATTTGTCATCATTCGGGAACCAAGGAGGTATGGGACTAGGGATAGGGAGCGGTTTAGGAGATGTGGGAGCTCGATCTACCTTTGCGAATAGCGGCAGCCTGAGCGGTGATGTCATGGGGTCCGATCAGATAGGAGATATGTTCTTCGCTGACGGAGCCCTTGAAACACCAAGTGGGGGACCCGAGTTTTCGTTTTGAGGGTAGGGAGAGTGTCAGAGGACACCTAGGTTTTTGTTGTATTCCAGGTAAGTCGTTGGGCCGCTTTTTGCTCAAGGCTGAGCTTGAGAAACGCCATTGTTTTTAAGGCGAGGTCGCGGGAAGTTTCAAGCGCGGCGGCAAACATGGAATCTCCTGTACAGTCGCCGTCTGTATAGACTGACATAAAGCCGTTTTCGTCGGCAAGAGATGTATCAAATACGAACGTAATCACACCATCTGCCTCAACCTCTTCGATGAGAACAGGGTCAACAACGATGGCTCCGTTATACAGAGACACACTAGCTGCCGATGGCACTGCTCTCATCGGCATTCCCGCATCGACGAGGGCCATAACAGTACCATTAATAGCAGCGGCAATCACTCCGCCATTGTCCGCGAGTACCTGAACCGCGACGACGGCGGCCTTGCGGGGATGCAAAATCGCCATGACGATCTCCTCTACGACCTTTTTAAGATCCCTTCCCGCAATTGCTTCCTTACCCGCGTTAATCGAATCCCCTTTACCCCCCGCTCCTCCCGACGTGGTACCTGCGCGTCTCCGAAACGCAACGCTGACATGCATTTGTTCCGCGTCCTGGCGCGGGACGGGGCAGCCCATAGGGCCGTACACAGCAACCACGACGTCCGTCGCGCCGAGACGCACACGTGCAGACCCGTCGGCGGCGACGAGCGGCCCGTGTGAGATGGAGAGCGATCGCATCTCTGATGCCGAACGGCCGTCCCGTCGCCCGGCGGAGAGCGGCGTGCCTGACATGGCGTCGACGCCCGTCCCGACGCCGGAAAACTCGAGGGCATCAGGGCGCGTGTTGGATGCGGTGCTGACTGACATGGCGAACACGGAAGTGGTTAGCCCGTGGAGTGTTTCTTGGCAGAGCTTCAGCCAACGATGTTACAGGGTGGGGCGAAGTCGGTGCGGTAGCGTGCGCGATGCTGCAGGTAGCGTTTCTAGGTTCTACAGAACTTGGAACGGCGGCGGTGGAGGCGATGACGTAAGCACGACAGGGTCAAATGATCAAAAAAAAGAAGCTTAGTCTGTTCTGCCGCGCGTGCTTGAGATGACAAGTGTACAGTACTGTACAATGCGAATGCAAGGCGGCTTCAGCACTCTGCCGAGCGACAGCTATGACACTCGAAGCGCTGGCATCGCAACACGCGGGTGCACCCGTTCCCTCGCTTCTGGGAACACCCCACCATCGCCGCCGCACGCCCCTCAAAACAAAGGCTTGAGGGAAACCTAGAGTCACCCAACCCTCTACCCCCCGCCCCACCCCCCAACCCTCCACCCCTCCTCCAGCGTCCACACCGTACGCACCACCTCCAAAATGCAGAGTCCCTTCCTCCCCGCCGCCCCCGCTCCCCGCTCGCCGCCTGCCGCGCCCTTTGCACACTCCCCAGCCCCCGCTACCGCCCCGCCCTCCGGCGCCGGCGAGTCCTCGCACGAGTTGGGCAGTCTGTCGCCGTCTTCGCGCGCCTCCCCGCCTAGGTCTTCCCCGCTACATTGTAAATCCCCCTTCACCGAACCCCCATCTTCCCCCGCCCAACCCACGCAAGAGCACGACCCTGACACATATTCACCCCGCCGCAAGCGTCGAAAAACGAAGACACGCGTCTTCGAAATCGCTACTGCCCTAGCGACGCGCAGACTCAGCACTGGCTCTCTCGGACTGCAGGGCCGTGGCGTCAAACTGTCGCAAGTGCCCAATGTCCAGTATGCTCTGGACCGCTGCACAGCAAGAGAACCCCACATTGAGTTCATCCATCGCCTGATGTTCAATTCCGCAGGACAAGCGATGAGACGGAAGACGAACATTCGTTCATTTTCAGGATTTGTGTTTTCCAACGACAAGGAGCGCGTGAGATGTAGGGACAAGATTTTGAGAGCTCACATTAATGTTGTCAAAAAGGCGGCCTATGTGCTGGATATCGACGCGGCGGGAAGCAAAGAGATGACAGCTGACGCGATCATGAAGTTTCTAGACGAACCACGCGTGTCAGAGGAACGCGGGAATAGAGCAGAGAAGGCAAAGAGGGACCGCGCAGAGAAGAAGAGGTTGCAGAAAGAACGCGAAGCGAAGAAAAAGAGGGAGGCAGAGAGAAAGCGAAAGGCGGAGGCATCGAAGCGGGCGGATTCTGATCAAGATGGCGATGAGGACCTTGAGTTTGAGGCAAAGACTTGGGTCGAGATGGCAAAGGAAAGCGCAGAAAGCAAAACACTGCAGGAAGAGCAAGTCGAAGTGCGACAGAAGCAAAATCCCGACGAAGAGGAGCCCGAGCATAACGGCGGAGCTAGGACCTCGGGCGCCAGCAAACTCACACCGAACAAGAAGTCATGACGAGGAGCAACTAAAACCGTAACTTATTTCCATGTTCATTGCAGGGCGTCATGATGAGGCAGTACCCCATCGATGCAGTGAGGCCTTGCGTGGTTTCTCAGACATCTCGCAAATATGGACAAGTCGGCCTATAACTGCGGGTATAAAACAAAACTTTTCCTTCCTATTCGTTCTTTCTCTAGATTCTAGGGCTTTTGCCACGCTAACAATCTCACCTCTTCGCATTACATGTGACTCTCTATTCTTTCCCCATACTGGGCTACGTCCTTGATCGTTGAAGAATTTGCGAGCTTTTCTACCTTATTTTGCACTTGTACAAGATTTGAAACAGATATCTGCAAGTCTCTTGCAGCAAGGAGAATAGTTTGCACTTCATTTTCAAGCTTCCAACAGTCTGCAGACACCTCGGAAATATTTTCATCCTCATCGCTGTCGGGACGCAACAGGTCGGGTCTCTCTCTTCTGAACGTAAGAGCTTCTGTTGAAAGAGCTTCAAAATCGTCAACGAGCGTCTTCAGTTCAGCACTAGCATCTGCTATTTTTTGCACCTCCGCAACAGACACGGGGGACTGAGGCTGACCGGGATTCCCATGCGGTTCGCTCTTCAGCCCATCACTATTTGCTTTGGCATCTTTTGCCCTTGTGGTTGCTCGCTGAAGATTCTGAGTTTCTCGCTGAATCACCTTCAGTCTCTGCAAAACCTCGTCACGTGTAGGTTGAGCTTTCCCGAAGGCAGCTGCCTGTTTTCTGACGACCGGCTTACTATTCGAAATTGTTGACCTTCCTGGTGGTGCTCGGCTTTGTCCGTTGGCCTTGCGCACTGTGAGTGGTCTTCGCTTTAGGGTCGGCTGCTGTTCTGATAGCTGTACAGCATTTGGGAACAAGAGATGCCTATTCATAATGAGTGTCTCCAGTTGTGTATTTGCCTCGATGTCCTCAGCATCGAATGGGGGCTCTTCATCAACGCTGAGCGGTTCTTCTCCTTCCCCTACCTCGGCCACGGGTTTCGTTGTTTCAGAGTCTCCCCTTGCCGCCCGCCTCCTCTCAAATGCCATTACGAGATCGATAGCCACACGCATGTAAAGGGAAGCTGCGGAGCGTTCTCGCTGCTTATCTCCAGATACAGTGAGAGGTATGCAATGCCCGTTTTTGTTTCGGTTTGCACATTGTATGCCAAGACGGTCCCAAAAGGCAGCTAGAGCGTCCTCTGATGTTCCTTTAAAGTCTGTATCGATGCGACACGCAAGCCAAGCAAGTGTTTCGAGACGAGCCTTTCCGTTGGGAGAGACACTGGCGGCATCAGCGGCGTGCGGGTATCCCAACGTTTCAAGGTCTGCGAGCAGGACGTCCGTCGCGAAAAAACAAGGAGCCGCCATTATCAATGCTGGGCTGCAAAATCTAAGATAAAAGTGTCGAAGCGGGAACTGAAATGGTTGATATAAAGCAAGGCTGCGTTGCAGAGAAAATGGGTTGTCCCTGTCTGTCGGTCACATGGCATGGTGCAGGTAGTATGGAGACGGGAGATGGAGGAAGACGAAGGAATGCGGACACGTTTTCCCGCGAATTTGAAATTTGAAATGAATAAATTAAATAAAAAAAGTGCTCCATGACCAGTTCTCGCAGTTGGTCGACAAAGAAAGCCAGGCACATGTGCTCTTTTTCCAGTGCAGACAGAGGCACACAAACGACAAAGAGAAAAAACAGAAAGGGTTACAGTAAGTTAGTTAGTACACTTTATTGCACTGTCCACGATTTTCAACTGTTGACGCCCCTCTTTACCTACAAATTCCTTTCCTGTCACCTCAGACTTGATATGGTCACCATAGTGATCCTTACAAATAAACCGCTATCGGATGGTACCTCTTGCAAAGTTACCAACGTCACCCCTTGTTCGCTACAACTTTTCCGATTTCACCCGTCTGTTGCCACCAAAATGCACCTGATCGCCCCCCTAAACGCAACACTATCTCAAACAGAAAATAAACAACTATGAAGCAAACAATTAAACAACATAGCAAGCAATTAAGGCGGATAGGATGCCATGGACTGGCGGAATGGAGAGGATGGCCTGTATTGAATGGAGAGTCCCCATCCAATAGAGTCCATCCTGTCTCCATTAGAGACCAATAAGATGATCTAAAATCGCTGAATGCCTCCATCTCCGACCACATTGCTCTTACCATTTGCGCCTTCGCGAGCCCCGCCTCCTCGCCATCCGCGCCGTCCGCGATGCCGCCACCGTCGCTCTTGTTGGTAGTCGCCTACAGCGTTCGGACGCGCGCCATCCAGACAGTACCACTACCGCCGCGCTCGCCCTCTCTACGGCCTACTCCTCCTCCTTCCGCTTCCCCAGCTCCAGGGAAACCCAAGTTTGTGAAAGTTATGATCGTCTTTACAAAAAGATTGGACAAAACACAACAATACCGTCAAGAAGTTGCCGCACCGGTGCCTTATTTGCGTTTTTGTTTCTTTGCCCACACAAACTTGCTCGATGCCTTCTCGAATAAAGTTGGCAATCACTTGTTCTCAATCGTGACTCACTCAGGCGTATCTAAAATGCAGCAGTTCCGATGAGGTCAGCCTCAGCAGTGTACCCTGGATCATCATCGTTCGTGTCCGGCGTACCGCTACTTTCATCACTCCCTCCTGCGCTCCCTCCCTCCGCATTTCCGTCTATGCTATCCATGTCCTCCTCCTCCTCGTCTGCATAATTGATTCGTTTCCGCTTTCTTCTCGGATTTGAGCGAGGTTCCACGTTTTGCGCTGCGGCCGTTGAAAACGTACTCTCCCACTGATCCCAGCTGCCCGCGTCCTCGTCCTCATCATCCAACTCTATTACGTTATCTACGACATTCTCAGCCTCGTCCGTGTCGTCATCCAAAACTATAGCATCATTGACCTTGCTCTTTCCGACGCCACCTCCCCCCGCTTTCTCCTTCCGAATCGCGGGGCCAGTGTTCAGCTCATTGTCTTGCGATGGGCATGATTTCCACAAGGCTTTCCCTTCCTCCAATGGCCTTTTTAACACAAGGGGCAATGGTTCTGGAAGCCCCCCCGGATTCTTCTTCGGATCGCCAACCCAAGCCCACTCCGAAAAAACGACGAGCGTCTCAAATGTATCAACCACGTTTACCGGCTTCTTCTTCGACGCCGGTACTTTCACTGCTGTGAAGCAATTTTTCGGGAACACAAGCGAACCTAAAAGGCGAATGCGTCCATGCGGTGGAACGTCGACATCTAGAGTCGGAGTGCGCGTGTCCAACCCTGACAGTGAGCCGACGGTTGCGCCCGGGGGAAGCGAAGCGGCTCCAGGGAAGACGAATAAATATTTTTTCTTGCGGTTGGCGTTTCGCTTGACGATATCCGCCCCATCGCAACGGCGCAGCGCGATCGAAGCGGCGCTAGTCGATGCGCCGGGGGCGGTTTTTTGAAGGAGACGGCGCTCGGCGCGCGAACGAAGGCGCGTCGTTTCAGCATTTATCCGCTCCTCCTCGGCGGTGACTGGGATTGAGGACTTTCCACTTTTCCGCGCAGGCATGATGTGGCACGGTTGTGGAGTGGGAGCACGACACAGCAAGTTGAGGAAAAGGCGATCGAGATAGGCGTGTGAGTCATTTCCTCCACGAAGGGAGAAGGGAACAAATTTCGCGCCAAAGCGGAGCATCTCTGCAGTATGATATGTGTTCAAGCGGGACAGCATCATTACATTACAGAAGGCGCACGTCCGCGTGTGTAAATTAAGAAGCCAGCAATGCAAACATTCCATTGATCTTTTTATTGGACGTTTTATACCTGCGACGTAGCAGTGGTAGCAGTGCTTTACCAATCCGCGGCCACTATAGTGGAGTTCATGCATGCAAATTTGCATCTCCGACCAACCAATTAACCTCAACTGGACAGCTGCCCGGCTCACTACACTTCGAATGGGTTGCCGCTTGAGTAAACTTTACGCCACTGGCCGGGCAGCTCCTTATTAACCTTTGTCTTCAGCCTCATTTGGGCATCCGTGTTTATTCTCCCTGTCCTCTAGAGGCCTACTTTCTATTTTGCCATGTACAGCACGCCCATTCAGAACCCTCCGGCTGCGGCCTTCGCCACCCCGCTCTCCCCCCACCGTTTTCCTACGTGTTCCCAAAAGTCTACTCAGTCCGACCGCCGTCATCCAATTATGGCCGCAAAAATGTTCCCAGCACGCACCGCCGTGGTCACGGGAGCCTCTAGCGGCATAGGCGCTGAGACGGCTCGTGGTCTGGTTCGCGACCTCAACACCCTCGACCATCTCTTCTTGTGCTGCCGTGATGTCGCCAAAGGCGAGCGCATCGCTGCACCGCTTCGCTCCTCCTCCGAGGGCCTCGACATCACGATCGTGCCCGTTGAGCTCACCTCCCCGACCTCTATCGTCTCCTGTGCAGAAACGCTTTCTGCGAAGCTCAACGGCGCCCCGCTCGACTTACTCATCTGCAACGCCGGGATCATGGCGCCCCCGCTAGGGTTTGCCGACGAATTCGGAGAGATCGAGCAACAGTTTGCAGTCAATCATCTTTCACATGCGCTGCTTTCCCAGCGCTTGTTGCCTTCACTGCGGGCAGGGGATGGCGGGCGTGTCGTCTTCGTTTCTTCAATGGCTGCGTCTCTCGCCAGGAGCAGGGATACGCCACCGGTGAGCGCTGAGCGAACGAAGAATGAGCTAAATGAGGAGAACTATGCGAAGTGGAATATGTATGCGGATTCAAAGCTCGCCATGTCAATGTATGCACGTGCATTAGCGAAAAAGGAGGCCAATGTTGAAAGCGTAAGTTTACATCCCGGGGTTGTCCAAACAGAGCTAGGTAGATATCTGCTACCGTCTTGGATGGCAGAGTGGGCGAGCGCCAGCGCAGGCAAAGACCCGAGTTTGTTTCAGCGCTTTCTATCATTGTTTGGATTCAAAACACCGGTGCAAGGAGCGGAGCTCAGCTTAGAGCTCGCGTGTGCAGATCGAGGGACTCTGGAGGATGGTGAGTTCTACATAGCGAAGGGGGGGAAAGTGATTTCCAACCGACTGGCGCCTCTGCTAAGAAATGGACGAGAGTGTGAAAAGGTTTTCACTGATGCAGAAGAAGTTTTGGAGAAGGCTTGTCCAGGAGATACCGCACGGTAACTTCACTTGAAAAATCTCGCCATTGCCATGCGATCGCTTTTTTTGTTTCAACGTCCTTCCATGGTTCTATCATAACAAATGCATTAGGAATAGAGTTTATCAGCTGAGAAGGCACTTACTTTCCTTCAGAGAGAATAGGACACCATCCTGCCCTATAAGTCTAAACGACTTGTGTTTTTTTCATGTAAAATGATCATGGTCTGCGTTCATTCATTTTTTTCCTCGCTTGTGCGTTAAGACTAGAGAAGCGAGATCTAGTCCCCCATCGTACGCATACGCCAAACTCGTCCCAAGTCTGAAGCTACCCACGCAGAACCCTTGAAATGGCATGTAAACGAATACACCGGGCATAGAACGCAATGCTCTACTTAATAGCAAACGACGGGTAAACCCAAATTTAGTCGCAGCAGATCTCCTGCGGACCACGGAAGTGGTTTTGAATCATAATTCCTGGCCCGAGCCTACGCGCTTGTGAAGTATCGGGGTTTGCATGCTAGTTGCATGTACATCGCAGTGCATCATCGCTCCAGTCTTGCTCCATGACATGAAGAGCTCAGAGCGGCACACCGGGCAAGTCTTCATACTGTACGGCAAAATCAGTATCCAAAGAACTTGCCGTGCTGCATGAAAGTTAAGCAAAACCAATGCTCTTCCACTATGCGCATTTTCGAGGCAGCTACAGGACAGCCCATCGGCTATGGGTATAGAATGGTCTCATCTGTTGTAGAAAGCGTCAAAAGCGAAGCGCATGCATCATATAAAGGGCCAAATAGTTCTCGGAGCCCAGCTGCAAAACGCACTTTGATGCATTGGAAGAAAATCCTCATCTCTACCTCGATTCCAAAATCCTTAGTACAATCGACTGTTGCAATGCCGGGGCTGATCAAAACTTCCACTTTGCCTTGTACTTCCGATTTTCATGGGGGCGTTACATAGGCCACCCATGCACCAAATCACTACGATGGAAACAGTTAGGAACACAATTCAACTGCTCTCGACAGGAAGCACCCAATCTTATTTTCTCCGCGGCAGAGGAAGTGGGAAAGATCATTGAACCATTCTAACACGTGGCCTGAACAAAAGCGTGGCGAGGCGATCAAAGATGAAGGCGCAGACAAGATCACCTACAATGACTCCCGCAATCTTCCATTGAAGATCAAAAGAGGGCCACGGTACCAACTCCATAAACTCGTTGAGATCGAGTGAAATTTCTGAAGTGCAAACAAACAAAATAGCACCGGCTGTAAGAAGTGAGTTGAATAATGGTTTGTTGTCATAAATTCCTTGCATGAACGGCCGCCCTGTATAATTCAGGACGAAGACAGAAATCTGCTGCGCAATAGACAGCAGGAAGACAACTGTGTTCAACAAACTGGGAGCGAATTCCTCATCAATCTTCGGTTTGTAATCTGGGGGAAGATAAGGCTCAACAAGCCTCATGCTAACGATTAGGGCACCCACATGAACTGCAAACTGTCCCAGTAATGAAAAGAACAACTCTGGAGCAAAGACTGATGAAGCAGGTCGTTGGGGAGAAAGCTTCTTCAGTGGTTTTGAACGTGAAACCATAAAGAACGCTATCGCCAAGACAAAACTGGTTATAGTCATTTGTTTGTCGCCCAGTACAATCCCTTTCAGATACAAGACCGAGAGTGAGTATGCAGATATCAAGCAAGTCAAGGCAAGAATCTGGTACATTTGAAGAGTTGTAGCTAGAGTACATCTGCCCTGGCGAATAATGGATATGCAGCAGTCTATTGTCATCCTTCTCGAGGTGAAGGGAGAGGCAATTGACGCGTCCCCCAGTTTCACTAAAGGAGGTCCGTCATCAGACTCTCCCAAACCTCCAGTTAATTCCTCCACCTTCTTTTTATATGCTTCAAGTTGCATTTCCTGCGGCGTTAACTTCCGAGACTCCTTCTTTTCACTTTCTTCAACTGCTTGTTCATTTGCGGGGACAGGGGTCTTGCTTGGTTTCTTCCGTTGCCGTAAATTCTTTCTCTTCTCAGTTTTTGTTGTACCGCCTGCCTGTCGGTTTCCTGCAACCGTTTGGGTCACTAAGTTCCTATTCTTTGATGGCCCGCGGGTATCAGGAGCCTCTATCGTTGACAATAAAGCAACCCCGACGTGGGCCTGCTTCAGAGCCCCAACGTCATTCGTACCGTCACCACACATTAGAGTAACCAGGCCGGATTCCTTGAGTGAAGTTAGCACATGTTCTTTCTGCTCTGGTGACATGCGCGCGTAGACTGTTATGTACTTCAACATGTCCTTCATTTGCTTATCAGCATCAATTGCACGTTGCAAAGCAGGGCCTGAAACACAAAGATCAAAATCCTTGGCCAATGCTGGAATGGTCTCGATAGAAAACCTCTTCTTTCGTTTCCCAGAATTTGCGCTGAACCATTCCAGGGAACCAGGGTTGGCCTCACTGTGGTCCAGTATCAGAATGCTCTTTGTGCACATTTCCACCTGCGTGGCCACATGTGCTGCAGTGAGGGTGGCGTCCCCAGTGATCATACATACCGAATGATTTGACTTCTTTAACATTCGGATGACCTTTCGCGAGTCTGGACGCAGTGGACATTCGTAGCAAATAAACCCAAGGAAAGACAGGTCTGACTCGGCTGTTTCGCGGTCAATGCTTGTAAGCTCTGATGCAGTCATCTCGGGGTTGAGCTCTTTATGCGCCAACGCGAGGACTCGCATCCCTCCACGCGCCAGACGACGAGCCGTCTCTTTGTATTTGTCCGGCAGAATGCCTCCCGAAAGCAACTTACCAACGGCTTCAGGGGACCCTTTCACAAGAACTCTTGGGCCCGCCACAGTAGCTGCTCCTGCAACGTTGGCTATCACACTCATGCGTTGTAACTTAGATGCAAAGCGAAATCTTTGCAATATCGTTCCAGATGCCATAGAAGAACCACCTCGTTTCGGAAAGCACGTGTCGCTCCTGCCGAACATCCATTGCACCGACTCAAGCGCTGCCAGTTCCAATGGATCGCCCACTATCTCATTATCTACGTATACAAGGGAATGACAGGTAGCTAGAACAAGAGCAGGATCAATTGTCGCCTCATGCACAGGGATGACAGGGTATTCCTCGATACCCGTATTCTCCGTCTTGTTAGCTTCCTGTACCTGATCCGGAGCAAGAGCGACACCAGCAGCCTTAATTGCATCGGTTGTAATGGTACCGGTCTTGTCAAAGCAGCAAATATCTACCTTTCCGGCATAGGGAATTCTGTATGGCTCAGTGCAGAAAATCATGGCTCTCACGAGTGCAACTAGAGATGTATTCACAGCCAGGGCTAGCTGCATGGGGAGTTCAGGCGGAACGACGGAAGTGATAATCAAAACACATCGCAGCAGCAGCTTGTAGCGGCCTTCCGCATCCTCGGTGTAGCGATGATACAAAACGTAGCCAGAAGCTGCTAGCGCAAACACGAGCAAAAACAGAATAAAGAGCGCAGCTTCACCCGAGTTGGCTGAGACAGATTCTGTCGAGTATAAAATCGTCCGCATGAGCTTCCCCTGTGACGAACCAAACCCAGTCCGCAAAACATAACAGACACAGCCTCCCTTTGGTGCCTTGGCCGATGGGGTCGAATCGTTTACGACACCGGGCGTGTGTGTCAAAATCCGGGTTCCAGCGAATAGAACATGGTTTTTGTGATTTCCTCCAATGTCCAATGTTTCATCGCCGTCGGTGCTGATCGCGGATGGTACAGCTTCCTTCATCAGTGGGACAGATTCTCCAGTGAGCATTGCTTCGTTCACAACAGCCGCACCTGATAAAATGAGCAAATCACATGGTACAACATGAGAGACATGTTTCCCGCGTCCTATCGAGATAATGTCCCCTGGTAGCAGCTCAAGAGAAGAAATGGGGGCCCACTTCTTGTTGCGGAATGCATGAATCGTGCGGGACGGGTTCCTCATGCCCCGCAGCTCGCGAAGACTGCGAAGGCGGCCGAAGACGACGGTAGCTTCAAAGATGAGCATCATGCCAAACGTCATGAGCGAGTACTTCCAGTATTCATCGAGCATCCAGAGGAAGATACAGAACACTTGAAAAATGAAAAAGGGTGCCAACAGACTCTCTTTGTACAGTTCGGCAAACGTAGGCGACGGCATTTCAAGCTTATTGCTACCAAATCGCGTAATGGCGTGCAAAAGATGCTCACCTGAGAGGCCATTGGAGGCCCTTGCAGCAGCCTTGTAATCAGAGAGCCGCAACTGTGTCGGATAAAGAATTTTCTCAAACGTGTTCTGCTGTGCGTTGAACTCGTAGATGCGCTTTTGAAATTCGAAGTATACATGCTTGTTTTCGTCCATCTGGACTTGTATCATCTCAGATTTTCCCTTGTGTTCCCTCGGCTGTACCTGAGCATACACGATCCCCTTTTCGACCTGGTCAGGATCAATGCTCTTGACAGTGATCCACGACATAAATGCACGTGCCTTGACGGACCAGTGCTGCATTAGAAAGGCAAGGATATGTAAAGTCACGCATGTCGCAAGCATACCGTACATGACAAACGAAGTAACTGAGTATGCCCACACGAAGCTGAAAAGGGCAATATACAACGCGGCAAACGGCAGGGCGTCGAGCCTAGTGACGACCGGAGCCCTTCGGTGCAAAGAAATGCTTGCAATCGATGAACCGGTCCATCGCGGGCTGCCGGAAACCGACATCACGGGTGGAGGAGAACGAAACGTGACCCACTGACAAGCGGTGATGAGCTGCAGACGAGTACGCAGTCAATGCCACAGAAAGCACCGTTCCTTTCGACGGAGGTGGCTGCGTTCGTAGGCGGTCCCTGAACAAAGCGGAGGACAAGCCGAGCAGTGTAAGAATCTCCGCTTGTACGAGGGAAGTGGCGTCGGCGGCAGCGACCGGGATGGCGAGCAATTGGGTTGCGTCATCATAAGTGGATGTGGATGGCACAGCATGGCAGGTCACATGGCCGGCGTCAAGAAAATAATTATATTATTATATAATTTCTAAAATAAATATCTTGTGAACCTTGGTGGTGCCACCAAGGTTCACAAGATATTTATTAACTAAAGTTAAAGTTTACTGTACCACCAAAGTGACTGGTGGGGTGTAACTGCTATGCACGAAAGCACCAAGTCAACTCTCTGGGAATTGGGCCTTCACAACAGCCCCAGCCTGCGTGCGTGCATCTCGTGTGCGCGAAAGCCGCATATTCCATCGGTTTTTACCGACACCACGATGGATCCGAAGTGTCTCGCCAAAATCTACACCTGCAATTGTAGTACACAACGGTATATATGCAGTACCGTTGGTACAGTGTCTCAGATAATTCTTCAACCCATGCGAAGCATACGCTTGCATAGCACCACCTTCACCCTTCTATCTCAACTCCTAACACGGCAATGCCCTTTACCCCCGTCGAGGCGGTCCTTGGAGGGGTAGCCATCGGCTTAACTGTCTTCTGGAATGCGCGCCTGAACGGTTCTGTAACCGGTATCTCGGGTGAGCTTGGCCGAGCGCTTCGCGGTTCTGCCTCCTCCACTGCTTTCATCACGGGCTTGATATCCTCTGGCATAATCTTGAAGCGAGTGTTCCCCAGTCTCTTCGCATTGGACGCGCTAAGTGTAATTCACACCCCCTCTATAATTGTGGCGGCATTTCTCGTCGGATTCGGTACCAAGCTCGGTAATGGCTGTACATCAGGTCATGGCGTCTGCGGCCTGTCTCGATTTTCATTCAGATCTCTCGTCTCTACTCTTACCTTTATGGGCACAGGCATGATCACAGCTACTTGCATGTCCTCTCTTTCGCAGTATCAAAACACTCTCGATCTTCTCAAGTCATCAGGTGACAGGACGGAGTCTCTCTTGCCGAAAGACTTTTCATGGATGCTTTCCATCGCTGCGGTTGCCTCCTCACTCCCCTTCATCCTGGGCCTTCTTTGTCAGCACGCTCGCAAAGACTCAGATCACAAGATGATACTACGACAAAGCATTCAATATGTCTTGGGTCTATGCTTTGGCGGCGGGCTGGTTGTCTCGGGGATGGTCATGCCATACAAGACGGTCGCATTCCTCGACCTGCACTTTGACTCATGGGACCCGTCGCTCGTTTTCGTCTTTGTCGGAGCACTGCCGGTGGCCGTTGCGGGGTTTCAGCCCATCATACATGGGACTAAACCGGTGTTGACAAACGCACACTCCTTGCCGAAAAGCACTAGAGTGGATAGGAGACTGGTAGTGGGCGCTGTCTTGTTTGGCATGGGGTGGGGACTTTTGGGGTTGTGTCCGGGACCGGCAATGGTGTATCTTGGAGCGTTTCCGCGAACCTTGAACATTCTAGTGTTCTGTGGAAGCCTTGTAGTCGGGAATGTTGCTGGGCAATTGGTGATTGATGCTTTGTAAGGCATCATGTGGGCCTCAAGTAAGGGTACTCTTGCACATTTAAATCTTGAACATAGAGTTGAAGCTTGTCAATATACTGCGAAACGTGGAAGAACCTCGCTCGGCTTCCAACATCTGTACAGTACTGTCTGGGTGAAAAATGACCTCAAATGAGGTCAACTCTCAACATCCTTTCTACGGCTTTATATTTGCTCTGTGAGAACGGTAAAACTATCTCGCATATCATGACTGAGTTTCGTGATGAGGCAGACTACCCCCACTGCCCCTAAAAAGTACCTGTCCTTTCCAAGTCATTTTAAGAAGATGTTGCAAAGAAGCACTTTTGAGAGTGTTCCAACCTTGTTTCTTTGAAATCTTAAAAGCAATTAACTCGCTTAAAACCCCCAGGTAAAAGAGAAGAATAAGAAATGTAGCATACATAGCCTGTAGTGTACCGGTAGCAGCTCTTGATGCATCACGAGAGGTTTTCCGGGGAAAGTCTGGAATTTCACTCAGAACGTTCTTCTAGCATTCTATTGGCCAGGCGGGGATACTCTCTGTTGCTCTCGGCGAGTTCATTACTGGTTGCTGCTCGTTTGCTGTCAAATATACTTCTCGCTTTGAAATACCGCAGGACAGATCCCATTGCTCTCACGTCGCCATTCCACCATTCAGCAGCCATGAATGGCTGCAAAACGCTCACGTCCACACGACATTCTCATCTACATTCTGCACCTAAGACTTTGTTGAGCAGAAGCATTTCCTTGTTGTCTGCGTAACGATGAACGGGACAAACAGGACACTTTAACCTACCTGCACGGTACAAGCCGTTCGTCCCACTTCTATAAGAACCACACCATCATTCTGTTTAGAAGTCCTGGCATGGCTACGATGGCTATGGCTACAAATCACTCTTCGGCCCAGCCCTCCACCCCGCTTCTCCCAACTCACTACGGAAGCGCTTGCATGCCGCCTGTCACTACCCCGTTTCCACAAGACGCGGACGAAAACCAACTTCCTGAGCTGTATGTCTGCTTTTCTTCTCTGCCACACAACCGATGCACCCTCCCCGTAAATACCACATAACACTTTAAACTAACGCTCCTCGACTCCACGGCATGTTACCATGTCTTAGCTCCCATTGGTACTCTCGTCCGGGAGTTCGCGTCTTTTTCGCAGCTTGGTTTTTGTTTTTCCTTCTCGCTTTCGCCGTTGTAGTAGGGACAGTGACAACTGCTCGTGACCCATCCGAATATCCGGGCCACGACAACGAGTACCGGTTATCGAACTTGTTGCAACAAAGGCCATGGTCATAGACTTAGGTTCGTCCATGGCGTGAAAGGGCCCTGGAGAAAGAAACGTCAAACCATTCGCATTGCTTTTTTGTCGTAGCGGGGAGCTCAGTGCACAGTCCCGAGAAACGATTCGATGGACGAAGTTTTAAGCGAAGAATGTTCAGGGTCAGTACTCAGGACCTACTTGCGTCAAGATATTTGCGTTTGCTTGCTCAATAACATGTAGATATGTCTTCCGTTATCGAGATGCTGGGGAAAATGTATATGACGGAATGACGTCTTAGTTTGCCTGCCACGTTCAACGAGAGTTACCATGTTCGTCGGAACTATCTGCGCGCATCCAAAATTTTGCATCTCCTGTACACGTGTGAACACGTATCATTTGTAAATCAGCAACGATGTAATGGGCGCTGATCAATGCTTCCATGCGTCTGCTGTACTGCAGGAGCCGAATTTGCATCTTCCCCTTCCCCCCACAATCAGAACCAATTTGACGTACAGCATGCGCTCAGACTTCACTAACAGCGACGCTGTCATACCCGTGAACAGGCGCTCCAAGGTCGGCGTCTTCCTTGGCGTCCTTCAGCTTGATCATAGCCGGGCTTCTGCCATAAAACACAAAAAGAGCAATGGAAGCCCCAAGAACCGAACCGGCTAATATATCTGCGTAGTGGTGATGAAAGTCTACGATTCTGCTAGCTGCAACAAGCGCGGCGAAGAAGGGCGGTACGAGCACGGCGCATATCTTCCAGGACTGGGTGGTGCTGGACGCCTTTCCGATGCCGAACTTCGTCCCCAGGTAGCACGCCAGAAAGATAGCCGCAGAAAACGCAAGGGAAGAATGACCCGACGGGAACGACTTGCGCGCCTCTTTCACAGCATCTGCATCGCCTGTGCATTGCGTTTCAGAGCCTGCGACGTATCCCACGCAGACAGAGGCGAAATACGGGCGCGGTCGGCCGATGAGAAGTTTGAGAACGTTTGTGACAAGTACGGTGAGTAAGTTGCCTTCGAATAATGCCGTGAAGAAGAGTAGCAGCAACGTTCGTTTGCTCGAGAGGCCGCGGAGTTCGACGGCGCAGAAGACGGCGAGCGGGGCGAGGAGGGAGGCGAAGAGGAGAGTGTGACTGGGAACGATGTCCTTTTTGTGGGGCATGCGAATGGAAGGGTCTGTGAGCTCTATTGGCTGCTCGAACGGAAAGATGTAGGTCTGGACATAGAGCGTGACGAGGGACAGAAGAAGAAGAAAGGCGACATCACTCGGAGACGGTCCCATTGTGAGGAATCTTGCGTTTCCCTTAGCCATAAGCGACGCGAGGCGCTGGTCAGTAATGCAGTGAAAAGGGATTTGTCGCGCAAGGTCAGGCTCCGACAACAGCCACCAATTTGTGATCAGGTTGTGGTTTTTTGATTTTGTCCAGGTGGCATCGACATACATACAGTATGCATACTTTGCAAACCATATCCTTCATATTGACACCGAGTACAGGTGTGCAGGGCATATGTAACAGTTGCAACGAGTTCGAAGCAGTTCGAATTGGGGCCGGCATTCGACAACAACGTGATATTGATAATACTGAATGATTCCATGAAAATACTGTACCAAGGGTACTGCGCTTGACAGCATGACGGTACCCTTGGGTACAGTATGTCGTCTGCGTTCCCCGTACAGAACTTCACAGCTTATACTGACCCGGCAGACACAACTGCTACAATAAGTAATAATGACAAACTATGGGCATACAAACTATGTAGAGCAAGAGGCCAATATACAAATTCTCGTAGTCCGCTTAGTCTCAGCAGGCTTCTACAGAATTAAACGGCTTTCTAAAGAGAGCGCTATAGGACTGCCTCTTGAATGCGTTTTATGCAGACATAGCAGCATCAGTTTAAGAGTTATCTCTTTGAACAATATCAGCTATCCTCAGTGGAGACATGAAAAACAGAGGCAGTCCGCAAAACGCTTACTCTTCTGCTTGGTGTGAACCCAAATCTCTTTCACAGGATGGCCAACGTTTCGCACAAACCCCACGCAGTTCATTTATATTGTTTGGTCACTCCCTTGGAATAAGTATTCCCAGCTTTCCTTGGTACAGTACAGGCACCAGACATGACCTTTGCGGGTAGGCAACAGAAAGCTGTGGAGGTATGAAGGTTCTGGTTGTCCCTGGCGATTGCTACAGTAAAGTGTGTTTCTGGTCACGAGATTTTGCAATTTTTTGACTCATTTGATCTATACGGTATGCTACCTTCCCTAAATCGATCAACCTGAAAAGCGCAGCTCCATTTCGCCACAACTGTTCAATTTGAATTTGTACCCCTGTCTTGGTCTTCATTCTCACCGTTGCAGCCCGAGGATGCGGCATGGGGCTTCCCGCCCGAGTCCCCCTGATACGAAGGCTTCCAGTCCTCATCGTGGGTGGTGGTCTGAGTGGGTTTACATCAGCATTGTCACTTCACAGAGCAGGAATCCGCAACAATATTATTACTCGTGAAACCAAGTTTACCCAACATGCTCGTAGCGGGGTCTTCCTCGGCGGGTCTTCGATTCGCATTCTAGACAGGTTAGGATTGGGACCTCAATATCGTTCCCTTGGAACTCCATTGTATCGCGCTGTGATTGAAGATGTTAACGGGAAGGAAATCATTTCATTCCGCCTGGACGATTACGGCATGGAAGTGTGGAACGTTCCGCGCCAGAATCTACAGCAGCTGCTGCTAGAATCCATCCCACCGGATTCTGTACACTTCGGCACCAAATTCCGTGCTCTCCACATCAGTGATGGTTCAGCTCATGTTAAGGTGCAACAGGCCTTGGACCGGTCAGGTCAACTGATCGAACCAAAGGCAGCCTACTTCGAGTCCAAGTTTGTTGTTGGCGCCGACGGAAATAATTCTGCAGTGCGCTCCTTCATGTCACGTCCAGCCATGACGTTCTATTCGGGGACGTCCATTTGGAGAGCAGTGGTCCAGAATCAGGACACCGAAAAGTACCCCCTGCACATTGGCAAGGAGGTATGGGGATTAAAGAAAAGGTTTGGGTTCGCACGAATGAGCCCGGATGAGGTCGTGTGGTGGGCTGTACTAACGGATCTACCAGAAGTGCTCTTACGGCCTTTTGCGCCTCATCTGCTACGTGAGTTCAGCGACTTTCCAGAGATCACCAAAGACCTCATCCTCTCTATTGAATCAGACCGCAGCATTTATCGCACTGAAATGAAGCGTGTCTGGCCTGAGCAGTTTCCTTGGGTCGACCCCTCTTCTTCACGAATTGCTTTAGTTGGTGATGCAGGGCGACCTGAACATTTCGGAAATCTCCACAGCGGCCATTCTTTTGCTGTGGAGGATGGGTACTTTCTTGCTCACCACTTGGCGGAACAAAATGAGAAGGGTATGTTGCGAACCGGGCCCAAATTAGGGCGTTACCAGGAAAGTAGACAGGAGCAAATGATTGCGACGAAGCAGTATTCCGCGCGGCTAGATCGTCTCTCCCTACCGCAGTCCAGGATACAACGCTATTGTGTTAGAAAGCTTTTACATATATCATTTGAAAGAATGGCACTGCATGGGACAGGTCCTAGGATTCCAATGTTTCAGGCATGATAGTGCCAACGTTGTAGTATCACTTCTAGGTTGAAACCAAGCCACTAATGGTGAGTAATTTCGAAGATATCAACAAACGCGCTCACGAATCTTCAGACAGCTGCAACAGGCAGTGACTTCGTTTGTTCATCATACGCAGTCAGATCGAGCGTCAGCAAGCGAGATCCTTTCGCGCTGACATCCCTATATATTCCAATGAGCGCATCAGCCCGCTCGTAAAATGAATCTTTGAGACTGATCACGATAGTTTGCAAATCGGGTGCTCGAGATTTAACGTAGGTAGATACTTTTCCTACATTGAGGCTGTCAAGAGCAGCGTCAACCTCGTCGAGAACAAAAAATGGGCTGGGACGAAAGTCGTGGATCGCAAAGAGAAGCGCAAGAGCAGCAACGGTTCGTTCACCTCCGCTTAACTGGTCCATATCTCGGAATCTCTTAGTTGGTGGCATAGCGTTGAATTTAATGCCGCCAAGATATGGTTCATCTTGTTGCTCGAGAGAGAGATATGCGGTTCCTCCCATGGGATAGGTATCGCTCTTCGTGAGCTGCTTATAGACTTCATTGATTTTTTCAGCCACATGGGAAAAACACGCGCTGAAACGGTCGTGCCGGGATTGCTTGATGTCTTCAAAGGATGACACAGCCTTCCGCGCTCTTTCCCGAGCGTTTTCAGTCTCTCTGTCAATCTCTGCGAGCTTGATCTGCACATCCGACATGTGCTCACTGGCTCGCAAGTTCGGCGTAAGCCCATCCAATTGCTGCTCCATTGTGCGGACTTTCTCTGAAAGAGATGATAGCATTTCTCTTTGTTTGTTTGCGGTGCCTGCAGCTCGTAATCGTCTTGAGAGAGAAGAGTAGTCTACTTCAACGTTGACGTCCACAGCGACAGAGGTGGGATCACTCTCCCCAGCATCCCCAGCGTCGGTTGCCGCCATCACCGCATCACCTTCTGTATCGAGAATATCCTCCTGCCTTTCGGAATCGTCTTGCTCCAGGAGCGGAATGGCGACTTGGTTTACCTTGGCGGTTGTAAGCAACCTTTTGCGCTGCCCCATCAATTGTTCAATTTTCGCACGCTTCTCCGCCAGCTGTTTCTTCTTTTCACTCACTCCCTCGTTTTCCTTCCGATAATCGTGGCGCTTCTCGGTAATGGCGTCAACAGCGTTTTGTTTCTCGGTGCTGATTCTTGATATTTCACCCTCGACGCTTTCAGCTCGGCTCTCTAGCTCGGCTCGCTTGGTGCCTAAACTTTCCAGACTTTCTTCTACTGTTCTCTTGCGAGAAGCCTGAGCTTCAACTCGCTTCTCCAATCGAGTGATGCTGGTTCGGCTCTGCTGTGTTCGATGATAATTGAATTTTGATTGCAAACTCGCTTCCTTCGTCTCCAGTTCAAGTTTCCTTGCCCTCATCTTTTCTGATTTTCGCACGAATTGTTCCTCAAACTGCTGGACATTTTCAATGCCATGGCGAGCAGCAAAATCTCCGAACAGATCATTTTCTAATCCGTGAAGACGTTTTTCGATTGACTCCACACTCCGGGTTAAGTTCGTATGAGCTTGGGTGGCGGTTTGGAGCTGTGGGCGTAGGTACTCAATTTCGTTTGTGGTATGTTCGACATCTTTCTCTGCTGTTTGAACGCTCGATGTTGCGCCGCGAATGTCTAATTCCAGAGTGGACAGCTTTCTCTGCAGTTCTCCCATGTGCTCTGCCATGGAGGCGGCTGTTCGTCTGTCAGATTCTGCTGCACCCATTGCTTGCAGTTCCTGTTCAGCAACATGTCTCTTGCGTTTCAAGGTTTCAATCTCCGCTCTATCCCACTTTCGGGCTCGACCCATTTCAGCCTGGCCGATTCCACCAGTCATGAATCCCGCCTTGTTGATGAGTGTACCGTCAAGAGAGCAAATCTTGATCTTTCTTCCCCCACCATAGCGTAGATGCCGTGCTTCGTCCAGCGTGTCACAGACTACAGCATTCTGAGCAGAATATAGGACAGCTTTGTGGATATATTCGTCGTAGTTCACAACGTCTATTGCAAGCCGTGCTGTGCCGCCAAGGCGCCTCAAGGACTCATCGATAGCTCGAGGTCGGACGTTTTCTAACGGGATAAACGTAGCCATACCAACGCGCTGGTCCTTGAGAAATCTGATACATTCTGTCCCAGTTCTTTCATTATCGACAACGATTGCATCCATCAGTTTGCCGAACACTACAGCAACAGCTTCCCTGTATCGCGTTTGGGTTGGCTTGCACAAGTCTGACAAGCGGCCATGAACGCCAGGGAATAGTCGTCGCATGTTCTCAAAGGCTGCGTTGAAGGCCCGCTCACGTCCGCTTTCGTTCATATCAGCTTTCGCATCGCGTAAGGCCTGAATGGCATCGTTAATGGTCTTTTCCAATGCCATGCGCACGCTGTCCCGCTCTTTACTCACGTCTGACATTTGCGATTGTTCTTGTGTGGCGTTCGCAATCTCAAGTCGGGTGACACGGATTTGCTGGCCGAGCTCGTCAACTCTCTTTCTGTAAACTGAAAGACTATTCCCAGCGGCCTCCTGGCGTTCCTCCAAGTCCCTTTCTCGGGCTTGCAATGCAGTCTTCTGCTTCGCTGACGCATTCGCGTTTTGTTTTGCTACTTCCAGCTCCTGCTGCAGGACAGACGTTCTCGTCGCGACCACATCTTTCAAAGAGCGGTACTCTGCCATGCTCTCCGGAGAAACGCTCGCCTCTTCGGCTTCTTCAATATCGTTTTGCAAGGTCTCGATTTCCCCTATGCATTTTTTCAGTTCGGCCTCAATGGACCTCAGTTCGTCGGATCCCTCTTCAAACTTTGCCTTAAGTTTGGCGAGTGAACGTTCGTCTCCTTTGATTCGCCGAGTGATTCCTGACTTCTCCGTCTCATATTTCACTTCCAGAGGACGAAGCTTCTCAATTTCGTCAGCAATTCTCCTGTTCCTTCTCTCTAATTTGACTCGCTCTTTCTCTAACTCAACCACTAGCCTTTTCTCTGCTTTTAACGCGGATTCTTTCTTCGCGAATTGTCTTTCATGCACATCAAGCTCATCTTTGATGATGTTTGCATCGACATTAACAAGTTTGAGGTCTTCATCCACGTGAAAGAGTTCATATAGTGCACTCTCTGTCTTCACATCCGCAATATCGCCTTGCAAGCGTCGAAATCGCTCTGCTTCTTCCTTTTGCTCGCGACATTGGCGCTTCTCTGCAACCATACCCTTTCTCTTTCGCCAAAATTCTGTAACCTGTTCTTCTGCTGAGTCCTTCTCAGCAAGTGCATCTTCGTAAGATGCTCTCAACTCCGCTGATTCCGATACCTCCTCAAACATGACTGACAGTTCTCTGGGAGACTTGGAGGCAATGTTCTCGACCTCATTCTGGAAAACAAGAAAGTTTCTCGCTTTCACCAAGACGCCTATCTTCGCAAGCTCGGCATTGTACCTTTCTAACGAAACTACGCGTCCCTTCACGCGGTACTCGCTAGAACCTGCTACAGTGACTGTCCTCATGAATTCGATCTCCCCATTGGGGTCGTCTCCATCACTTTGTTGATACACGAGCTTAACATAAGCACGTCGACGAGACGCGTCGTCATTTTCGTCCTCTTGATTTCGGTACACTAGGTCGCGAAGTTGGTTACCGCGGAGCTGAGCGGTACGCACGCCGAGCACAAAAGAGATAGCATCCATGAGATTACTCTTGCCACTACCGTTAGTCCCAACAACAGCTGTGAAGCCTTTGAACGGACCAACGATCACATGACCACCGTAGCTCTTGAAGTTTTCCAACTCCAGACGGTCTAGACGACCCATAGTGGAGATACAGGCGGGGGAGAGGACCGCAGAGCGGAAGATTGGTGAAGAGAAGCCCTGTGGGAAGTGGGTTTCGGTCAGTTCCGCGTTGTCAAGTCAGAGCATACCGACATCCGTAGTTAAGCCTAAAGCTTTACAGGGTGAAATGTGCAGTGCTTGAAAACGAAAGGCGGTGGTTTCAGGGCCGTTCCTAACGACGAGCACGGTGTGCTAGCACGCAAGCACCCTGAAACTTGGCATGAATGTATTGGTTGAAAAAATTATTGGAAATGCTTTTACTCCCGTTCAACCAATCCAAATGTCAGGGTGCTTGCGTGCTAGCACACCGTGCTCGTCGTTAGGAACGGCCCTCACTTCGAAGGGCGGGAGTTGCGTTAGACTGTGTCTTTTTTCTCATCACAAGGAAACAAATCTAGCGGGTCCCGCCAAAAGGCCACGAGCATAAAATGCAGAAATCAAAACAGAACATGCCGTTTTAGAGTGCATTTTCCAGCGATTGCTCTTCAAAGTTTATTGTTGGCACATTTTCTTTAAGACATGCCACTCCAGCGCGCTAATTCGCATGACTTCAATCACATCTTACTCCCCCACTCTACAGTGCTCTTGCATTACAGTTATGTGTCCCTGCTGTCAGTGAGTCGACGTCGGAGGCGCTGGCTTCTGAACGCCTGGTCTCAGTGACGGCGGTGGCGTAATTCTTCTGAACAAGCTATCCTAATCTATCAGGACAACAGTTTCGAGCGCGCCGGTTCATCGTTTAGCACATCTCATCGCCCCACGTCTCCTGGCTCAGCAATGGCGCCACATGTGAAAAGCAAGCGTACGACGCTGAAACACAAATACAAGGTCGAAAAAAAGGTTCGTCAGCACAAGAAGGAGGTGCGTCGCGCCAACCGAAACAAACCCGCCATACGCAAGCTTAGCAAGAAGGATCCTGGTATTCCAAACTTATGGCCATTCAAGCAGCAGATGATGGAGACGCTGGAGCGCAAACGTGAAGCCGAGAAGGCTGCCAAAAAGGCCAGGCAAGAAGCGAACCGTGAGGCCTTCCGTGCCGCCCGAGAGGCAGGCTACGACCCTGCGCTTGCCCAGGTAATGGCAGATGCAACTAATCGTGCGGCACACTTTGAAGGGAGGGAAGAGAAAAGAGATGATTTGAAGAAAGAGGGAGAAGCAGAGGATGGATCGAAGAGGGCTTTCATGAAGGAGTTCAAGAAAGTCGTTGAAAGTTCTGACGTTCTTCTCGAAGTCCTTGATGCGCGTGATCCAATCGGATGCAGATGCTATGAAGCTGAGCGCGCAATCATAGGAGCATCAGGTGGCTCGAAACGAATTGTACTGGTGCTGAACAAGGTTGACATGGTGCCAAAAGAGGTATCTGACAAGTGGCTTGCATACCTGAGAAACGAGTTTCCCACCGTCGCTTTCCGCGCATCTATCCAAGAGGGTCGCGGGAAAGGTCAGGCAAATATGAGTGCTCTAGCGGCTTCCAGCGTAAATACCTCGGAGTGCCTGGGTGCAGCAAACCTCTTGGCATTGCTGAAGAATTACTCGCGGAGAAAGAACTTGAAGACTTCCATTGCAGTCGGCATCATTGGGTATCCAAATGTGGGAAAGAGCTCTCTTATCAATTCACTTAAGCGGTCGAGAGCAGTAACAGCTGGAGCCACACCTGGCCTGACGCGACATGCACAGGAAGTTCACCTTGATAAGAACATCCGTCTCATCGATTGCCCGGGCATCGTTTTCTCGTCGGACCAGAAAGATGCTTTAGTCCTGCGTAATTGCGTTAGGGCTGAGCAACTGTTTGATCCCATTCCCCCTGTTGAAACTATCATCAAGCGAGTTGGGGCTGAACCTCTCATGGTTGCATATGGTATTCCTGCCTTCGATAATACGACAGAATTTTTGGCACTGCTGTGCAAACTTCGCGGTAAGTACCGCCGCGGCGGTGCTTTCGATGTGGAAGCCGCCGCGAAGGTAGTGCTCCAAGACTGGAACAGTGGCAAGATTCCGTTCTACACCCTACCTCCAAAGGGTCCAAGCACAGCACACCTGAGTGCCAGTGTTGTGCAACAATGGGGTGAAGAATTCGATGTGAAGCAGGTGGAGGAAAACGAGAAAAAGGACTTGGAGAGTCTATCGATGGACCCTGCCACTAGAGCACGTTTTGTTAGTGCTACCGCATTGCAGCCCAAGGCGTCTGAGGACGAGATGACAGATGAAGTCACTCCGGCACCAAGTGACCAGCGCAGGGCTGACGAAAGTAATCCGAGTTACCATGTAGCGAAAGCGAAGCCAAAATTTAAAGGCATTTTGAAAACAAGATCAAAGGTTAACGACGAGATGGATACTGAGTACCTTTAGTTGTGAAATAAATATATGTTTCCATGTTCCGTTCGCTGGCTGTGTTCACTACATGTAGGTTCCCGCAATCATGTAAGGGAAGTGTGCCCGTCCAAAGGATCACGACTGGCAGAAAAGCTGTGATGTCCTTGTCAGGGTCTGGGAGGTCTCCTCTTCACTCTAGACGTGATGGCGAAGCGAGCACTGCATATAGGGCACATGGCCGCACCCTTTGCTACCGTAGTTGCAAACGTCGATAAACAAACAGAGCAAGTGTAGCCATCTTCAATGATTTGCCTTGTCTTCATACAAGAAGCACGGAAATCGACCTTGCGCGGAGTTGGCATTGCCAGAAAATCGCGGTTGAGACGATCAGTCAGAAAGACCGTCTGCAAGATCTGAATTAGTACATTTGGGTTTTCGGTGCTAAACTCGTTGGGCCTGAGACAAACACCGTTCGTCAGGTACGCGGCCTGTTGAAGGTATGTTGAGTCTTTATCCCCATGTATACATGAATCCAAGGGGACGCCCATGCGCTGGGCGGAGAATATGCAATTCATGACCGGCACGTACTGCTCTGGGGCGTCTTCACTTGCGATAAGCATAAGGATTCGCCCATTACATGTTCCGGAATCATTGTTTGCCTGGCCGTTGCCCTGGCCTAGACTCAATGAGGAGCGTGTCGATTTAATGCTTTTTGCACGGTTATGCAAACACAAGGCCGTGGCGAGAGCAGTGCTAATCGGAGCTGGAGCACTTGCGACCTCCCCTTCCTGCGCTCGAAACGCCTCTTTGACACCTGCGAGTACGGCGTCTCGCAATTTCAATGGTGTTTGTTCTGCGTGTAAAGTGAAGCCACTTCCAGCAGTAGCAGCATCCAGTGCATTGTCCTCAGCGACTAAATCGATATCAGAGCATCGCGAGCCGGGTTCTGAAAGCTCTGGGAAGACTAGCTGGGCCCCATCTGGTGAAGCCAGGATTACGCAAATGCGATTCGATTCGTGAAGGAGCATGAATGAATTCAAAAAGACAAGTAGCTGTTCAATCACAGATTGAAGAGTTGCCGTGGCTTTATCGCCCGCAATATCCGTCCACGCAAGTGCTGCAACATCGAGTATAACAACCAATAAACTCGGAGGATCATCTGCCGCACGAACGCGGAAGTCACCCCGTGGTGCACGCATCACTAGGCACTAACCACAGTCGCCCCAGAATTTAGTACCAATTCCCAGATAAAGGAGCTGCGTCGCCGTTCAGTCGACTCGCGTGGTGAAAAAGGGCGTCAGGTGTTGCCAATTCCTGGGCGGGTTCGACGTGGCGCGGCAACCGCTTGCAGGGGCTTGGTAGCAGAGCGCCGAATGCAATGTACAAGTGTGGCCAGCCTCTTTGGCTCTGCTTGACAAAAGTGAGTAATGCTTTCGGGTAGGTGCAACTTCGCGGTTCCCGACGATGGCCTGCTCCAGGCCAGGCACAAGCTACTGTACACTCGCCAAAGATCGATTTGACGTTGGTTTCGGCTCTAAGCTGTAGCCGCATTACAGTGGGGACCACGATATAAGAGCACCCCATGCCAACCCTTCATGCTGCTCTTAATCCGAGGTTGCTACCATTCAAGAATCTCGCACAAGATGCCCATTTTACTCCTTAGAACGCTGTAACACCTCACCAACAAGTGGTTGCCTGGACCTGTGCACAGAAGCCCTCCCTCGTAAGCGCGCGAACACGCTTCTCACTCTCCGCAACAACATCCCTACCTCTGTTATATTGCAATCATGAGCAATTGTTTCTAGCGGTAGCAATAACGCATTCAGACCAACTGATGTCGGTATAGTGGCGGTCGGTATAGTGGCGCGTTCTTCCCCAATATATGTTGTTTCGTCACTAACCTCCTCCACAGCCGCGGAGAAATGGAACAGGCGGACTGTGAGCGGGGCTTCTAAGATGCGTTTGAAATACCGCGAGAAAAGGCCTGTGTGATTGGAATTACAGCGTCTGATGGGGCTTGAAGTTATGATACCGTGCCAAGCGAAAATGGTGCTCTTACTGCGAGGACGGTCTTATTCAAAGTGCTCTTTTTTTCGCCCCCCCCCCCCCCCCCCCCCCTGTATTACATTACTTACTGTGTGTAAATTCTTTATCACAGGGTATCATAGGGGCATATCAGGTTACAAAAGACAATAGCTGAGAACTTGGCACAGTTTAATTGGTTGATCACATTTCATCTGTCAACTGCGTTGACTCACCCTATTTGACATTCAATCATTTAATTGGGCACACTTGAGGCACCTGTGCCCAATTAAACGATTTCAGTTCAAGTTTTTTGGCCACACATGGCTGGAGCCCTGTGCTTTCGTCGCAGACTAGCTGTGCATAACACAGCGCATTCGACGGCGAAGGGCTGGTGGATACAACTCAAACCTAACGTGGCTGCATATTCCATTCGTTTGCAAACGTTGCAAGAGCCCTGCTGTGCATTGGCCTGCTGTATCCGTCGACGACACATAAGACACGGAGCTAAAGTGCGGGCCAAATCGAGAGCAATATAGAAACTCGAAGTTGATCTAGTCGCACCGCTCTAGATTCCCTCCCTTCGTCAGTCATGCGTCACGATGTCGTCAGACTGAAAATTCTGTCCTAGATCAAACGCTTGCCCTCGATGGGGCGGGAGCCTGAGTTGTCGCATGGCACCTCTTCAGAGAGATATGCAATCCTCTCAGATCTCATAGCCGGTGGCCTCGCCGGGCTGGCCTGCGACCTTGCTTTACATCCAATTGACACAGTCAAGTCTAGACTCCACGTCCAGAAGGGCCCGCCTTTCAAGTACCGTTCCATTTTCCACGGCTTTCGCCTAATCGCTCAGCAGGAAGGCATCCGACGGGGCCTTTACGCTGGTTTCGGAGCTGTCTTGGCGGGCACCATCCCCACTCATGCAGTCATGTTTGCGGGATACAAGGCCGTCAAGCGAAGATCGGAGCAAGAGATTTACGACGAGCAACGTCTCGCCGTCGTAGATGTTGCGAGCGGAGCGTTTGGAGAGATACTTGCGCTTCCTTTTTACGTCCCTGCCGAAGTTATCGCCAAGAGAATGCAGGTCGCAACTCTGGGGCCTGCTAGGAACTATAACTCCGCCGCTCATGCAGCACGCTCTATCTACATAACTGAGGGGCCTCAGGGATTGATGTCGGGCTTCTGGCCAACGATGTTGCGCGACGTGCCGTTCACGGCAATCCAATTCAGTTTGTTTTCACTAAGTAAGGACTGGCTCCACCGAACAACAGGGCGACCAGAGCCCTCTACGATCGAGGCGACAGGATTGGGCGTTCTTGTGGGTGTAATTGCGGCGTCCCTTACAAATCCGTTTGATGTTATCAAAACTCGATTCATGACGCAAAGTTCGGGTTCGGAACAGAAGTATTTTACCATCTCGCAGTGTTTGCGGCGTATTATTGCAGAGGAGGGCATCTCAGCATTGGGAAGGGGACTGGCAGCCCGTTGCTTATGGGTTGGACCTGGAAGTGGAATTACCTTGGCGGTGTACGAGAGAACTTCACGGTACCTGAAGAAGTCATGGCAGGTTGAAGCTGATACCACCGCGACACAATAGACGGCTGCAAGATTGAATTTCGAATAATGATACGGTTTTTTTCCATTTTTTGTGCTAACTGGGATCCTTAACTTCAGGAGGTGGGTCATGTTTGACCTCCAGAACACGGTCTCCTGGTCTTTATGAACGACCAGCGACATAAAACCTAACCAACGAATTCAAAACAAAACTGGGTGTCTTTACGGCACGAAGAGATGTTCTGGCAGAGCAACTGTGTAGATATCAATAACCTAGATCAGATGGCAACAAGAATCCCATATCTCGCTTAACCGTTTCCAGCGTGCGCTCAGCTTCTTCGTTCGCAGCGACATAACCTTGCTTTAGAACGGATGCGAGGTACGACTTGTCTTGCAAAAGTTCGTTATACTTGTCCTGAATTGGGCTGATGTGTTCGGCTACAGCGTCCGCCAGCAGGGGTTTGAATTGTCCCCAACGCATGTCGCCACATTCTCTTTGCACCTCTTCTTTCGTCTTATTCGCCATAATCTGATAAATGGCCAGCAAATTATTGCATTCAGGGCGTTGCGGGTCGTCAAATTGCAATCCTTCCTGCGAGTCTGTCTTGCATCTTTTTATCTTCTTCCGAATGACGTTCGGAGGATCTGTTAGGTTTATTCTAGAGGCGTCGTTTTCATCGCTCTTAGACATCTTACTCGTGCCGTCCTCCAGACTCATCACGCGAGCACCCGTGGTACGCATCAACGCCTTTGGCTCCCGGAACGTTCTCGGGCGCTTCTTCTTGCAATAGATATCGTTGTATCTTCTTGCAATGTTGCGGGCGAGCTCAATATGCTGTCTCTGATCTTCCCCAACAGGAACAAGATCCGCTTGATACAACAAAACATCAGCCGCCATCAAAACTGGGTAGTCGAAAAGGCCCACCGACACGTTCTCCCCCTGCCTTCTGGCCTTTTCCTTGTATTGGATCATTCGCTCGACCCAGCCCATGGGGGTAGAGCAATTCAACAACCATGTGAGCTCTGCGTGAGCACGCACATGGCTTTGAACAAAAATGCGGCTCTTCTTCGGATCAATACCGGCCGCGATGTACATCGCGGCGGAAGACAAAGTGGTGTCCGATAGAGTCTTCCTGTCGTGCGGCGTGGTTACGGCGTGCAGGTCAACGACGAAGAAAAAATTGTCATAGAGGTCCTGGTTTGCTGTCCACTGCCGCATGGCGCCGAGGTAATTGCCAAGGTGGAGAGCGCCAGTCGGCTGGACGCCTGATAAAACGCGCTTTCGTCGCTCTGTCTCTTTGGCTGAGGAGGCTTCTTGTTTCGACGGGTATGACGCGATGGACGCTCGGGGAATTCTATGAGGTTGTGGACGCCGGTGACGACATAGGGGATGTGCTTTTCGGAGTAAGCGGATACTTAGAGCATTTGCATATGTAAATGCCGGAGCGAGCATCGTGCCACCTTGCTTCGTGGAGCTGCAGCTACAATATGGCACAATTGCAGCTTTCCTGAGGTGGCATGCCTCGACGTGGTAGAGTTTAATTGAAAGGGATGATCGGCCTTTAAGCCACGGCCATTGCCAGCCGGATATTCTCCCGACGCGACCTTAAGGATGAGAAGGCTGATGGCGACCGAGCCGGCTTCCGTTCCGTGGTGAGGTTTGTAGAGATCTCTCGCAGAAAGCCACTTGTACAGAGTGTAGTGGACGGGAGGCTTGGCTAGTAAGCCTGTTCAACCACTCGCAGAGTCTACCGCTCCAGAAACAACCGAATTTTTCGCACGGTGCGTTCTCCTGTACGGCTCAAAACCGCTCGGAATTCGCGAAAGCGCCTCTTTGGAAATGACTTTTGAGGGTATAAACGCACCCCCGGCCATCTCCTCCCTTCTCGCCTGCAGGTTCTTACACACAAATCTCCGCCGCCCTCGTAGAAATATAGAACCCAACCCCAGGAATGGCTTTCGTCACACCCGTAGCTGCTCGAGGGCTGGCAACAGCAGCGTCTAGGCGCGGGGCGTCTGCGCCTGCGACATGCCCGACAAAAACGCGACGAGTTGTTACTATGAAGAAAGTGCGGAAGGGCAGCGGAGACGACAGCAGTAACGCTGTCGACGTTTTCGGAGGCATTGGTGTTTCCCAGGAGCAGCTTCTCGCAGAAGCTTTGGGGGAACCAGAGGCGCCTTCCCAGATTCCTGCACCGAACGAGAAGAAACAGAAGAAGGGAAAGAAGGCGGGCATCCAAAAAACTGGAGACAACGCTGTGGATGTCTTCGGGGGCGCTGCCATGAGTCAGGATGAATTGTTGCCAAGCGCACTTGGGGAAGATGCAACAGCATTGACAGTCACACCGACCCCGAAGAAGAAAACGAAGAAGGGAAAGAAGGGTACGGTAAGGGATGAGAGTAATGCAGTTGACGTGTTTGGGGGCGCCAATTTGTCTCAAGATGAATTGCTGGCAGACGCATTAGGAGAGAATGAACCAATTCCCCAACTTCGTCGAAAAGGAAGGAAGGGGAAGAAGAGCGTCGATTTCAATGCTGCTGATGTCAATGGCTCTGCTGGAAATGGCGTTTCCGAGGACGTATTATCTCATCCTGACGATCAAACAGTTTTAGATGGTGGCAAGAATGACACTAAGGAAGCTGAGGAGCGCATCACTGATATTGGCAGAACAGGCGAAATTGCAGCTGAGACCCAGTTGGTCGGTGAAACGAAGAGTCAAAATCCTGGTCCCTATGCAGAGATAGCTGACGACGAGAAAGAACAGGGAGACTGTTCAACTGATGCAATCGCAACAGCCGATGCTGTGGAAGACGAAGAGGTGGACGAGGATTTTGAGCCTGACAATGATGTTGTGAGCGAGTTTGAAGAGGCAACAAAGGAGTTCGACAAATTTACGCGTCAAGGGCGCCGGCGGTCATTGAAATTGAAGCGAGGTGAGCGCAATGCGGTTGAAGGGCGATTAGCAGATCCGAAGAGAGCGAATTTTGGTTCTGGTGGCGAAAAATTCACATCCATAAGACTGGAGGATGTCACTATGACTTTCCGAAATACAACTATTCTCAATGGCGTGACTTGGGGTGTGAAGACCGGGGAGCGGGTTGGATTAATTGGAGAGAACGGGTGTGGAAAGACTACTCAATTGCGCATGATCGCTGGGCTCATGCCGCCAACGTCAGGGGAGTTGGTTAGATCATCAACTCGCACGAAGGCTTCATTCTTGAGACAGGAGTTTATTGAGGAGTTGGATCCTCGTCGCACATTGCGCGAAGAGTTTACGTCTGCATTCGTGGAAGAGCAAACGCTGCTATCAGAATACAAAACTTGCGAAAAGCATATATCCGATGCAGGTGATGATCTTGACAAGCTAGAAGTGTTACTCAATCGTTTGGAAGACCTGCGACAGAAATGTGATGATAAAGGCGCGTGGAATCTTGAAGCAAGAATCGATAAGGTAATGCCAGGATTGGGTTTTACGGAAGATGACAATGACAAACTTGTCGCGGCATTCTCCGGCGGTTGGAAGGTTCGAATTGGCTTAGGCAAGGTCCTTCTTCAAGATCCAGACCTCCTATTGCTCGACGAGCCGTCTAACCATCTCGACAACGAGTCCGTTGAATGGCTTGAAGCTTTTCTCCAAGCGTCAAACCTGCCAATGGTTGTGGTCTCTCATGACCGGGAGTTCCTAGATCGAGTATGCACAAAGATCGTAGAGATTGAAGGAGGGGAGGCATTTGAGTATCCAGGAAATTACTCTACGTATGTCAAACTAAAAAAAAGACAGCGAAAAGCATGGGAGGCGGCATTCGAAAGGCAACAAAAATTCCTTAAGGAACAGGAGAATTATATCAAGAGAAACAGACGTACGCCTGCCCGCTCAAGTCAAGTCAAAAGCCGTGAGAAGATGCTCAAGCGCATGGAGAAAACTGGACAACTCGTGCGAAGACCGCCGAGGCAGGGAAAGCCACTCGTCTTCCGGTTTCCTCCAGCACCTCGCTCCGGACGAGACTGTGTCATCGTTGACGAGGTCACTCACGGATATGAGGGTAGAGCTCTATTCAAGGACGCATCTATTGCAATAGAACGAGGTGATCGTATTGCGCTCATCGGCCCGAACGGAGCGGGCAAGAGCACTCTTCTACGAATGATTACAGGAAAGGAAGACCCTCAAGAGGGAACGGTACAATGCCAGGGTCTTACAAACATCGCCCTTGCCTACTACGAACAGAACCAGGCCGATGCGCTTGAGCTCAACGTCACTGTTCTCGACACCCTAAGGCAGGCTGCACCTACTGAGATGCGGTATGAGGAAATTCGCGCTTTGCTGGGCAAATTCCTCTTCAAGGGAGATGACGTCGAGAAGAAGGTTGCGGCTTTGAGTGGTGGTGAGAAGGCTCGCTTGGCCCTCGCAAAAATTATGCTAGAACCATCCAATGTCCTTGTGCTTGACGAGCCGGGAAATCATCTATCCATTTCAGCAAAAGAAATGCTGGAGGAAGCACTACAAAATTTCGACGGCACCTTGCTGCTAGTAAGCCATGACCGATACTTGATTTCCCAAGTTGCTACACAAATCTTGGCAATCGAAGAGCAAGAGCTGGTCTTGTACGATGGAGACTACAAGTCCTATATGGAAAAGAATTCTGAACTGAGGGAAAGGTTACAGGCTAGGTTTATTCCTGGGGTGGCAGAGATCAAGAATGCTCCTAAGATTGTGTTACAAGAACCGGCAGAAATGCTTGACAAGAAGCAGAAGCGAAAGAAGAATTTTGGAGGAAGCGGGGTTAATAGCGGGAAGACAAAGGAAATGAACGCGAAGCGCTGGAACCGAACGTAGAAATAAGTGTTTCCTTTTGTTACGTCATTATTACAAAGGTCACCGAGAAATAAATTATAGGGGGCATCTTTTTAAGCGTTACGGTACAACCCATCATACAGCTTGCGGACCGCAGCCTGTATTCTAAATGTCAGGTATCTCTTTTTGTTGCTTTGGTTGAGAGCACGGAACGATAGCCTCCTGTTCTTGCAATCTCGCAAGAACTGTTGACTCCCGAGGATCTAGAACGACAAGCTATGACAGAAAATAAACCACTGAACTAAAACTGAAACACCTCAAATAGTGGCACTGCCCAGCGCTGTCTCAGTGAAAGTTCAAGTGCAAATTGCCACAAAGGATGGAAGACACAGTAGGAAATAAGATATGAATGTTGTTCGCCAAAAGCAATGTCAAAGGTGCTGTCAAAAATAAATGCTTGTGCAGTACATGGATAGAGAGTGGAAGGTGGGGAGAAACCGTTGATGCTTTTCCGCCTTGAATTGGATGCGACTGAACATCCATCCGAAAACCCTGCTATCCCCTCCGGAGGCCAGTTTATATGCTGTGATGCTTATTCAGAAAAGTCGCCGTTCATCAAAAACACATTTTTGTAATCCTTTCAGGTTCATACTGACAATCACATGTGGTTCAATAGCTGTAGCCCCCAAACGGCGATGCGGACACGTTTGGAATGCTAGAAGAGCTAATAGTGGGTTTACGCAAGCAGAATTCTGCAATGATTTTTTCAAAATTCTGCAATACGTATGACAGGTGTAAAAAGATACAGAATTCTGCAATGAAGCTGTGAGGAATATTGCCGAAAAGTGCGCAGTTAGAGAAAACCTGTGAGAAACAATTGTGAGAAATTCGGAGTCCTACGTGAGCGCGCCAAATAGTACTAGTATGCCATAATCCCTCGAACTCATGCTCTGTCACGCCATCCACCCTCACATCATCTTACTCCCATCCCCATTATGGCCGAGGTCATATCTATCGACGCGCCTTCCCCTTCCGACTCTGCCGCGACAAGGACAGGGCGGCATTCTCGTTTAAACCCCCGAAGAAGATCTTGTCGTCCGTGCCGTAGTCTGTAAGCATCACGCGTGTACAGTAGGGCACACGTGTAATAGCAGAGTCCGTGCAATAGTAGTAATTATGGCTCTAGCTTTTTAATTGTGTACAGTACCCGGCACGCACTAGGCGGCAGGTACTGTACTACTATACTGGGACAGGTGTCCGAGGCGTCCCTCTGAGGGGTTAAGACCTGGCCCGCGTCCCCACCAGTAAACTGAGGCAAGCTCGCCCCCGTCACTTTCGCGCCTATATACGTCCGTTTCGGTTGTATATCGCGCGCGCTGGCTTCGAACCCGTTACCAGTCGCTTCCGTTCACGCCCCACGGGGCAACTGCGCGTAATCGGCCAGTGAGCCACTCCCTTTTCGCGAGCTCGTCCGATCGGTTCAATTTGCGCGTTGCATCCGCGCCGTGTGCTCCCTCGCCATAGCCTTCGCCTCTCACCCAACCCAGGGTGGGGAGGAGTTATCCTACAGCGGTCCCCGTAACTCCGACCGGATTCGCAGTATCCTCTAGTCATGAACCGGGGTCTGTTTCGGATTTGGTTATTTTTCAAAGCATGCAGTCTTTTCATAGGCGTGCGCAGCGAAAGAGGAACGACGAAAAGGAGATCGGTGACGAGGGGCCGCTGCACGAATGCTACACAGGGCAATAGGCAATTCTTGCTGACAAAGGCTATCAGGGCGCGGCTGAGTTTTGCAGAATTGTCCACCCTAAGCGCAAACCGCAAGCGGGATTTCTGTCTCCAGGGGAAGTTGCGGAGAAAAAGGATATTTCCAGCGATATAATCATTTTGGAGAACTATTTCGGGTGGTTGTGCGGTCTTTGGAATGTTATAGGATGTAAGTTGAAGTGGAGTTATGAAAATTATGACCCGGTCTTTAGACTGTTTGGGATTGACAAATTTTCATATTCGTTGGAAGCCGTTGCGTGAACAGGATATGAGTCTGTATCAACAACTCACGAGTCGTTGGCACAGTATTATTTGAAACAGTCAGCTTGAGCGGCGACGCCGTATTCAAAAAAGGTATCGTGAGAAACGCGCTGATATTATGAAGCTACATTTAAAGGGGAGCTCCGTTCTCGATTTGCTTGGCCGGGATCCTAGCGAGGACTGCTAGTCACCACATAGTTACTTGGTTTTTTCGTAAATACAATCATGTTTTGCACTGTGTTGTAAAGGTTTGCCAGGATATCTGTTATTTGCGCTTTTGGAGCTATTTTGAGGAGTGACTGAATCGTGTTTAAATAAACGATATTTTTTGGCAATTTCTGAGTAATTCAATGAAATGTCGATGTGTGCGTCGGAGACGTAATGGGGTTTTGAAAGTTTCGTGTATAAACGGATGTGCACAGTGGCTGTTTCTGGCGTTTGATAGCACCAGAGACGATCCAGCAAAGCAAAACGCATGTTCTGGGCCTATTTCACCAGCACCGCATACCTGGAGTAGCTTATTGCCAGTTTCTTCCAAAAATGTTGGACGTTTTGGACTCTGAAAGGCAGTTACGAGAGCTATCTTCAAGGACCCCTGTTTTGAGTTGTAATCCCTACTTTTAAGCAGCCTCCATTTCAAATGTTAGATTGCAATCCGCTCTTCCGTTTACCGTGGTCGAAACACTCATCAGACAGCTAGGTTGGGTTGCAACCGGGCAGAGAGTGTTGTGGTATAACTACGGTCGCCCCGACCACTCGGAACGAGGGGGGTTAGAGGTAAGGGAGCGCGCGCCGCTGGGTAACCCACGCGAGCGCAAACCGTACGGAAGGACTCGAAAGGAGGGAAGGCTCACGTGGCCGGTGACGCGCAGCCGGTCGGTGGTGTTAGATCCGGACGGCCGGTCACGGGTTAGAAGCCTGAGACTTAGAGGTAAAACCGGACGGAGTTAGCAAAAAGCCGTAAAGGGAAGGGAGGCGAGTCTGCCCCCGTTTACTGGAACGGGGCAGGTGCCCCTGGTCTTAACCCCTCAGTGGGACGCCAGGACACCTGTCCCGCTACAGTAGCTGTTACATACTGTATACCAGCTACTGTACTAAATTGGCTAATTTGTACCATTAACCACTCATTGCTAATTACTTACCGGACAGGTCGCCCACGTGTGCCCGTGGCCACAACCGGCGCCAACGGTTGTTCCACGTGTACGCCGTGGAGGTACAACTGTGCTTTCAGAGGGCGCGTGCACGATTACTACAGCAGTAACCGCCCGTCCCGACGGTTCTCATCTCCCACCGGGGGTCGCGGTGTGGAATTGTACCACAGACCCCCTTCCTTACTTCACGACACGTCCTCGTCGCGGCCGGGGGTTGACATGACCGGCTGGCAGGGTGTCCCATCCGTACGGAGAAGTCCGCGCCGACCACGGGGGCGCGGGCGGGCTGCGGCCAACTCCATGGGGGAGCCCATGGAGTTTTTGGTATTTAACCGCGTCGGATCCCCTGGCGCGGCAATGGGTCCCCTCACGCTTTTCTTTTCTCCCACCTCACTTCACACCACGCACCCCATTACCTCCACTTCCAAATCTCGCCCCCTCCTTCCGTCCTCCCCCCGCATGGATAACCGATCATCCGAGCGGGGTCGCCCCCCTCGGGCTCAGCCCCCTGCAGCGCCAGCCGCGCCGGTACCGACCTTTCACCCGGCGCTGGCGGCGGGTCCCGGGGGTCGAAACGCGACGAGCATCGCGGCTCCGCGGGTGCGGGCTTCGGGCGCGGGGGTCCTTCCCTCGCGCGGCCCTACCGCCGTCCAAGGCCCCCTGCTGCGCCCTCTGCGCTCCGCCCCGGCTCCCCACGTCGGCGAGACGACCGTACTGAGACGGTCCCCAGACTGGGCTGTAGCCGCGGGGCAGGCGACGGCCGGCGCGGATAACCACCCGGTACCGCCGGATCCGTACGCGGCCACGCCCCCGGCGACCGAGGCTCCGCCGTCCAGCTGGCTCCGGACGGGTGTACGTGCCGTGCGGGGTTTGCTACCCGGGGCCGAGTTAGACCACCGGATTCCCCGAGGCGGTCGCAACCCCTCACAGGCGCAGCCGCCGATGTCCGCCGAGGCGTACATCGCGACGGCCTTCCCCGATGCCGCTCGGTTTGCGGCCATCCCCAGGCGACGGGGTATCCGTACGCCCTCCCCTCGCGATCGAATCCGCCAAGACAGCCGCGCGGCCGCTTGGAGGACCCGCTGGGTCCACGTGCCTCACCGCGTGATGGCGGACTCCCGCTCGGATCTCCTGTACATCCGCTGTGCGGGGGAGGACCGGTACCATTCGCGGTTGTTCGACCTCTTCGAGAGGTTCGGCGGGGACGTGGATTCTAAGCCCCACGTGCAGTTGGTGGCATTCCCCCGCCCGTTCGACCGGTGGTACAGCGTGGCTAACCGTGTGCGGTGGGGCGAGAATTCCGCCAAGGAGAGCCGGCTGCGGTGCCGCCGCGCCGATGCCTACTTCCACATGTGGTATACGACGGAATTCTTCGCCGTGCCCACAGGGGCCAGGGGGCAGCTATACCCAGCCCTACCGAGCGGTTGGAGCAATCTGGAAGCTCCGCAGTACCTCTGCGTACCCACGCCCAGCGTGCTGGCTTATGCCGCAGCGCGGTGGATGCCGGACGGTTCCTTCGGGCGAGAAGCGACGCCCGGGATGCGTCGACTGATCGACGCCATCCTGCTCTCGGAGTGGGCCGTCCTGGTGTTGCTGTGTTTCCTACACGCCGCACGGGATGGCCTCCCGTTCTTCACCAAGTGCCCGGACCCTCGCCTAGCGAGCCAGACCGGGAACGAGCCCGGCGAGCGAGGCTCTCTCTTCCGTTTGTCGGCGGGGCTTCTGCAGCTCATCCGATCGGTCGGGGTGGCCGCCATCCTCGAGGGGACGTCGTTCGACCCGGTTGGCGTGGAGGCCATCCTCGATTTTTCCGAACGGTTGGACTGGTCCCTCCCGGAGCGCTGCGACTTTGTGTGGTACAGTTGGGCCCGCGGCTGTTCCCTGCGGATGCCGCATTGGGATGGCACGTCGGCGGAGGCCGACCACTGGTACGACCCCCTGCCCGACCA